GTCTGCACCCGGCCTTCTGGGCTTGTATGATGGCTTTCAGTTTAGTGGCTTTAAGGGATTCCTGAGTGAGAGAAGAAATGGGTCTCTGACTCTTGTGCCTTCTCATAGGCTCTTTTCCTTCTGTTGTTTGTCTGGTCCACCTTTGATGTGACAGTTTTAGTTTTATCTTATTGTATTTTATTCTGTTAAATTAAAAAAGTGATAGAATGAATGTAAACCTAGACACTAGGGTAAAGGTTAACAACAGAACTGACATTTGTTCTAGCTACAAATAATTGTCATTATTTGATTACAATCTGGTGTGTTTTGGGGGGTATTACTGTGTTTCATTTTCTAGGTTTTGCTGTTGTATTGGACTTTGGGGTTGTTTTAGGAAAAAGAACTAAAAGTTGCTTGGATAGGGAGGAGAAGAGCATCTGGAGGACTGTGGGGAGGAAAAGAACAATCAAATAAATATATTTTTTTTGGTTTTTACAAGACAGGGTTTCTCTGTATTGTTTCGTAGGCTGTCGGTCCAGCCCGGCCTCGAACTCACAGAGATCCACCTGCCTCTGCCTCCCAAGCGCTGGGATTAAAGGAGTGCGCCACCACCACCCGGCAAATAAATCTAATTTTAAAACAGTAGAAGAAGAATTTGAAGATCAAGGAAGGAGGGTATTTGAGAAGGAATGGAGGATGGAGAATGAAGTGAGAAATGGTATAATTATATAACAATCTAAAAAACACAAGTAATTAAATATTCATTTTGCATGATTTGTTTAAAAAGAAAAAGAAAACCCTTTGAAAGCCAGTGGCTCCCTAAAGAATACCTGCTGCTAGGCGAGTTCACCGAAGGAGTGCTCCCATCTGAAAATATGAACTCCCCTCACTTTGTGTAGTGCTCACCTTCCTTTTGTACTGAGGGAGTGCTCCCATCTGAAAATATGAACTCCCCTCACTTTGTGTAGTGCTCACCTTCCTTTTGTACTGAAGGAGTGCTCCCATCTGAAAATATGAACTCCCCTCACTTTGTGTAGTGCTCACCTTCCTTTTGTACTGAGGGAGTGCTCCCATCTGAAAGTGTGTGCTCGCCTTCCTTTGTTGAAATCCTTACCCCAGGTGTCGGTGCTAAGAGATGAGGCCTTTGGGAGGTGGTTACAAATGGCTTTAGCGTCTTTATGAAATAGGTGCAAGGGAACAGGGAACCTTTTAGCCACACAACAAGGTGTCACGGGTGAGTTAGAAGCCAAGGCCTCAAAATGAACCAGCTGGTACCTCATCTTACATCCCCCAGGCTGTTTCCAAGGCTCAGTGTACAGTGCGGTTGGTTATAGCAGTCTCAACAGCCCAAGACACATAGCAACAACAAACATACATTCAGCCCTAACTTCTGAAGCTAACCCGTACTGACATGCCAGCTCCTAGGCACAAAAACTATCCCGGTCTCTCCCATCCTACACTACAAAAACTGGCTGCACGTAGAAATCAGCAGCAGGGAAAGGGCAGTTTTGTGGAAGTGAAGCCCTTTCCTGGCTCTGTGTTTTCCCTTGAAAGGGATGACAGGGACGCCTGGAGTTCAGCTGAACTGACCTGAAGTTTTGCAAGACCAGAAGGCCATTGTCACAGCAGTAAAGCTCCTTCCCATGGCATAAGGAAGGACTTGGGTGGGGGCTTCAGTGGCCTCCTCTGGTTTAGTTAGGGAGCTGCACACGAAGCTGCATTGACTGCTCTTCCTGAGGTCACCAGGCACCTGTTCTGAAGGTTTGTTTGAAGGTCTGGGTCTGCACACATCTTGTCGTGTGTTGTGTGGGGGCGTGAGGGTTTAGGTAAGAAAACCATGTGGTTTGAGGGCACAGCACTTTCCCTGTGTGAAAGAAGCAGGCTGTCGGTGTGACTGGAGACAAGAATAGCACACTGAGACCCAAAGCAGTCCACAGAGACACACAGACAAGGGACTGTTATTCCAATTTGACTGCTAATGTTTTAGATTTCTTTCTATTTTACATGTATGAGTGCTTTGCTTGTGTGTGTGTGTGTGTATGTGCACCACATGAGTGCAGTGCTGAAGGAGGCCAGAAGAGGGAGTTTGGGTTCCTGGAACTGGAGTTACAGATGACTGTGATCTGGCCTATGGGTGCTGGGAACTGAACCTTGGTCCTCTTCAAGAGTGGCCATTGCTATTAAACACTGAGCCAGCTCTTCAGCTGAAGATGTCAAATGTTTAATGAATTCTGATTAAAATGCTGACATCTCCAATGAAAACACAGACAACGTGTAATATCAAATGTAAGTCAGTAGAGCTGGAACTCACAGAAAAACAGGCGCAGACATGTTCACCATAAAAATTTATCAATAGAGCTGAATAACTCCTTTGAGGGCTGAACAGTAGATGATTCAGATAAGAAAAGAACCAGTGACCACAACAGACACCCAGCGAATGCCACTCCAACAGGAGTCAGCTAAACTGAATCACAAAGAGCAAAAATAAACCAGAGGAAAACACTCCACAATTGTGCAACAGCATCAAATGAAACATAAATGGAACAGGGAAGAAGACATGTTTGAAGACATGGTGGCTGAGAACTTTTCAAAGTTAATGGCAGACATCAACCATTGGCTTAGGAAGCTCAGAGGACAGCAAGCAGGATACATAACAGAGCTGGCCAAAGAGAGGAAACATTTTATAGCATGTTCAAAATATTGAAAACAAAAGATGGAAATTTAGAAGGGCAGCAAGAGAAAGCAGACTCATGGAGGAACCAAGGATTCCAGGACACTCTGTTTTGGAAATGAGACCAGCAATAGAACACTCAGTGGCTGAAAGAATAAAACCTGTTGGAAAAGAATTCTGTAGCTGGAAAAATTACCTTTCATGAACAAAGGAGAAATGGCATTTCTAGGCAAACACAAAGTGAGAGGGGACAGTTTGAAGCCTTTGGTGATGGAACTCAATAAGTAACCTTAAACTCACCCTGTCTTCTTGGTTAATACCACCACGGGAGGGTCTACCAGGAGGGAAAGCTATGGAAATGATAGGTACGAAATCTTCCAAAAGAGGAACATGATGCCAAACGAATTTAGATCTACAAACAGAGGGCTAGAAGGATGAAAAATGTAAGTACCATAAACACATAAACTACCTAACTTTGCTTTAAATTATCTGTCTAAAATTCACAGAAGCATATGTTTATACCCCATGCAAAAATAAAATGAACATAACATCGGCAAAAGGTCAAGGATTGGGGAATTGGGTACATACAGGTAAAGGACCTTCAAATGCTTTGGGGGAGATTTTTGGGACAAAATCTGCTTAATTCAAGATGTATACTGGAAAAACTGGGGCAACCAATAACTAGCTAAGTAACATAAACAATAAATTGACAGTGAAGGGGAAGATGATATAATAAAAAAGTAACCATGGGTCAACCTAAAGAAACATACAGAGGGAAAAAAGCATCAAAATCAGAATATAAACTGGACATGGTTGGCACAGGCCTTTAATCCCAGCACAGAAAAGGTAGAGGCAGAGACGGGAGCGGGGGTGAGGGCAGGAGCAGAGGTGGAGGCAGAGGCAGAGGCAGATGGATCTGTGAGTTCAAGGCCAACCTGGTCTACATACTGAGTTCTAGGTTGTGCTTGAACAGGTAAGGATTTGGAGTATTGCCCCCAGAGAAATACAAGGGAAGTTTTTCCTCCAAATGAGTGTAAATGAGAACATGGAGCTCATGGTGTATAGAAATAAAGGGTGCCAGAAGCAGCAATGTGTAACGGACCATATTGGCAAGATATAAAATGCCCATGGCTTTCATTTTAAACAGAGAAAGAAATCTCCAATAAAACGAATCCTAAACTAGCTCGGCATCTAAACTGGAGGGAATGGTGAGCTTGTGCTATGTGTGCAGGGGATGGAATTAGAGACAAAAAGCAAAATGGGAAAATAAATTTCTTCCTCAGTAAACAAGGGCAGAGGTAAGGAGCTAAAGGTACTGGGAATATAGGGATAACTTATACATACATTTGGGTGCAGAAATTTAAACTTAGTAATAACAATGTGTGAGAAAGGGTGAAAACAAAAAGTTGCATGCTTAAAAGGTAGAGGAAATCAGAAAAATTGAAGAGCAAGAAGGGCAAATGGACTGGGCGTTGGTGGCACACGCCTTTAATCCCAGCACTCGGGAGGCAGAGGCTGGAGGATCTCTGTGAGTTCAAGACCAGCCTGGTCTACAGAGCAAGTTCCAGGACAGCCTCCAAGCCACAGAGAAACCCTGCCTTGAAAAAACAAACAAACAAACAAACAAAAAAGGCAAAACTCAGGCAAAAATCCTTTCTAGATGGGACCTGAAAGCAAGCTACAAGTGAGGGCTGGAGAGATGGCTCAGTGGTTAGAGCACTGACTACTCTTGCAGAGGACCCAGGTTCCCAGCAACCTCATGGTGGCTCACAACCCCCTGTAACTCCAGTCCCAGGAGATCCCAGTGCCCTTTTCTGTTCTACAAGGCTACCAAGCACTCACGTGGTCACATTCATGTAAGCAGACAAAATATGCATGCACATAAAATTTACAAAGAAAGAAAATCAGACTCAAAGTTAAGGGAGGAAAGAATGTGTGGCAGGGATGTTCACTGAGTAGATGCAAAGAAAATAAAAGAAACAGATGAATGTGATGTTAGTAACAATTCAAATGCAATTCAATCTGAAGGCAAGAAGAACCAAGTTAGTCAGCAGAGGCGCTTTGCATAATCCTGCAGTCAAAAATAAAGCAGCAGCAGGGGCTGGAGAGATGGCTCAGCCGTTAAGAACACTGGCTGTTCTTGTAGAGGACCCTGATTCAGTCCCAAGTGCCCACAAGGAGGCTAGCAATTATCTATGACTCTAGTTCCAGGGGACCAAACGCCCCCTTCTGGTTTTCCAGGGTACTGCATGAATATGGAGCACGAATTATACATGCAGGTAAAACACCCATACACATAAAATAAAAACATATTTTCCTTAATGCAAAGACATTCCCAAAAATGCAGGGATTGACAAGACTATGTTTATTGTCTGATGTTTTAGTATTTTTTTCAGAACCTGACAGTTCAAGAATACAGTTGAGGCAACAATAAGGATTTCAGAACTACATATGTGGATTTTTCTCATAATACTCTTGTAAGATGTAATCATATGCTGGATTAACAATATACAGTGAATCTTTGGAGAATTCCCCAAAGTGAAGATTGTTTTTTTACAACATTCAAAATGGAATGGAAATGTCATTTAAATGTTTTCATTGTTGGGAAGTTGAAACTTCTCTGGAGACGAACTGAAACCAAAAACTATAAAAATAAAAAGAAGGAAACACGTGACATCAAAACCTCTGAGACACAGCTAAAGCCATGTCCAGGGGGTAATTTATAACTTTAACTAGTTTCATTTACAATCAGAACACGGCAGAACATACATATGCATGCTACCACAATGTACTTGGAGCAATCTCTCCTATGTGTCCTTGGTTGTTAGAAAATGACTGGGTTGAGCTGGGCACGTCCTTGCTCTCAGGGTCTCTTCGTGCGACTTTGGCTCCCTTTCTCACTTGTCCCCCCATCGATGTCATAATGAGAATGGATGAAGCGATCAAGAATTTGTCTGTCTGCCAATGAAGAAAAGCAGAGGTTTCCAACTGAAATATAAAACAGCTAAAATCCCAGAAGGAAAATATCTGGTAGGTTATTCACAAGTGTGATATGAAAGTATAATTTGTGGGTACTGGGTATGTGCAGAGTGCACAGTGCCCTAATTGTTCAGAGTGAATCAGCGCGCTCACCGGAAAGGACATGGGCTTGCGAGTAACAGACCCATAGTTCGGTTCTGTGCCAGCAAGTATTACTTAACCCACTTCTTTGTTCCTTGTCTGTGAATGCAGATCACCATACTTACCACGCACTGTGGGAAGGGCCAAGCACACCATGTGCAATGTCACGTGATAAATGAATATGTGACGTTAATTAGCAGTCTTATCTGCCTTTATGTGCTGCACAGCAACACACACTGGTGAGGAAAATCAAGATCTGCCCTGAACACTTGGTAGAATTCAAGGCTGTCTTCTTCCTGTCCAACGTGGAGTCCTAACTGTCTGCCTTTACGAAGTCCTTCAACCCCGCCTCCAGTTCCTGGGCTGTGAAATAGAGCCCTGAACACCTGCTAACTCCCTAGTCTGTAAAACTCTTCATTCCCATTGCCATGCAGCATTCATCCTCTTGGGTAGTGTCACAATGCCAGCTGAGAGACAGCTGTGTCTGTCTCTCTCTCCTCTCTCTCTCCTCTCCTCTCTCTCTCTCTCTCCTTCTGTGTGTGTGTGTGTGTGTGTGTGTGTGTGTGTGTCTATCAAACATAGCTAGCCCACCAAGGACCAATATACCTTATAAAACTTTTATGCAAATGAATTCAAAAATTTTAACTCTCCTACCTGATAAAACTTTGTTCATGGGAAAGCCCTGTCCTAGTCCCAGAACCTGATGTCTGGGAGAGGCTCACTCCTTCTCCCTTCATTTCCTTCATGGCACTTTACCGTCAAAAGTAGACCATGAGGTCAAACCTCAGCCAGAGAGGAACCACCAAGTTCCCCTTGTGTTAGAGATGAAAGACAGAGACCACTTTGGCCTCGGGTGCTTGCTAGCCCAGTTTGGGTCACAACCTACATTTTTTACAAAACAAATTGCTTTGCTGGGTGACTTTCACTTTGTTCTTGTGTCTCCTTGTGTGATAGCAGGGTTAGTCTTTTTCAACAGTGCGTGAATGTAGTTTGTGTTCTCTGCATTTGCATTTGCATTTATTTGTGAGTGATCCCTACTCTGTCCTATCCCTTCCTTGATTCCAGTACTTTTCAACTCAGGTGTGCCTCTCGTGGAACAAAATACATTGAATTTACATGCAATGTTTGTCAGTTGACTTTTGAACACGGATGAGCCATACTCATTTAGAGTTTATATCCATCATCTTGGAAGTCTAGATGCTTCCCAGTCAATACCGTTGACCCCAAGACAGCCAGCCTCTGGTCCCATTTCTTTCACCATGAGTGAGATTTGCCTGCTGCGGACCTTCAAATACATGGAAGCTCACCTTTAATGTTTGGATTTTTTTGTTGATGTTCCGCATCTTTGAGTTCATATATTTTGTTTCATGTGTTGGGAATGTGCTCCCTTTTATTGTCAAGTTGTTAAACTATCACATTTCATCCATTTTTTCCTGGTGATGGAGATGGGGCTATTTCCAGTTCTGGGATATTAAGGATGAAATTGCTATATTTTTGCACGAGCTCTTTTGTGGCTGAATACCTTCTTTTCTCAGGCCAGTGTCCAGAAGTGGAATTTCTGAGTCATGCTGCAGGCACATATTTAACTTTGTAAGATGCAATCAATGCTTTTCCCAGAGTGATTCTACTATTTGATAGTCCCCTGCATGTGGGGATTCTGTATGCTCTGTGTCACCCAGTCTGTTCCTTTTTCTGCTTGTCTGTAGTTTTGAAGTTTGTACTGAAGAATAGAAGCAACAAAATGCCCTTTCCATAATGAAGACATACATAGAGGGTAAATCAAAATGGGCACATATTAGCCAGAATAAGATGACCCAGTGTCCATCAAACTTGATGTCAGCCAACTGCTCAAAGGCCATTGTGCGTTGACTGTGGTTTGTGGTAGCTGATGTTGAATGACAACTTGACCTGATTCAGCCACACCTAGGACGAGTGGGGCACGGCTGTGGATTTGATGGGGTGCTTCCAGAGAAGATCAACTCACGGACCTGTGAGTAGGGGAGGCTGCCCTCAATGTGGGTGGTATCTTCCAAAGGATGACTTGGATACAAAGAAGTCTGGAGAGGAAGCAGCCAGCAGGTGCTAGCAAATGCCTCTCCCTGAGCCTGGGTGACTGTCTTGTTGCAGCCATCCTATGCTGACTTCCTTGTCCTTCCAGCATAGACTCCAAGACTCTCCAGAGAATGTCTGGACTTAATACGGTTCCTGATTGGGAATGCTGAGTAGGCACATCCTGGATTGGGCAGCCATCTTGTTTTCTGCTGTCTCCAGATGGTCATTGTTGGAACATCCAGCCCCTACCCTATATGGCAATCTAATAAATCCCCTTTTACACAAATATTCTACTGTTTCTGTTGTTCCAATACATGTCTTTATGCTGTTCCCTCTCCTGAAGCAGCCCTGTCACTCCTTGATATGAGGACTGTGTTGACCTGAGAACCTGTCTCTCATCTCCTGTGGATGTAGAGCTAATGGTACCTCACATAGGCTTTTCCTAGAATCAAAGATTTCTTTAGTGGTGGTAAATGTCTCTATAGATACGCCTCTGTCTTCCACCCTGGACAGTGAGTTTCCTGATAGGATGGGTTTATCTTTATCTTTGTGTTGTTAGCATGATAGACACACAATCAATGAAGTTTGCTGAGTGAGTGAATACATGTATTCTTTTAAAAATCATTTATGTTTATGGGTGTTCTGCCTGCATAGCTGTCTGGGTACCACAGTGCCCATAGAGGTCAGAATAGGGTGTCAGAGCTGCTGGAGCTGTGGGCTGCCAGATGGGTGATGGGAATTTAACTCAGATCCTTGAAGAGCAGCCAGTGTTCTCAACTACTGAGCCATCTTTCCAGCCCCAATCTATGTATTCTGAATTCTGAACTACGGGCTTGAGAGAAACACCTTATAAATTTTGTTGGTGAAAAAAAATACAGAGATAACCAGATTTCCGATAATTTTATCACTCAAGTGGGAAGAGAGTGGGCAGATGACAGGGTTTTACCAGCAGATAACATATGCAGGAACTGTCAGCTTCCACGTTGTTGGAATCAAACTCAAGGAGTAAAATAATTCTGAGCATAGATTGTCCACTAAAGAACACAGTTCAGGATTCTTGAGTTAGAAACCTGGGTTTAAGCATTCCTGCTGAAAATGCTCAAAATGTTCCAGATTTTCTTGGATTTGGGAATATGGGCATCTACATGGTGAGGTCTGTGGGAGACTGGATCCACGTCTGAACACAAAGTTTGCTCTGTTTCCTATGTGCCTCGCAGACACAAGCCTGGGATAACGTTGTGCAACATTTCCCACGTGCCTGTGCTTTAACTGTGACAGTTGGTGTGAAGTTGGGTGTAGAAGTTTTCACCTGTGGTCCCGTGGGTGCTCATAGGGTTTAGGATTTCACAAAGCAGTGGTGGCATGGACACAGAGGCCGCTTCAGTATCCCACTCTTCCTTCCTGGTCTGCTTTCTCCTCTACCCTTCCTCAGCCTGCCCGCTCAGCACCCAACTTGGTGTTACTTAGGGGGAAAGTCTAGTGCCCCACCCTCGCCATTTCTCTCTATCTCTTTCTCTCTGTGTGTCTCTCTGTGGGAGTCTCTGTGTTTGTGTCTCTTCCCTCCCTCCCTCCCTTCTTCCCTCCCTCCCTCCCTCCCTCCCTGCTTCCCTCCTTTCTTCCCTACTGTCTTTCTCTTTCCATCAAAATACCACTGCTCTGCTCTTCTGGTCCACAAAACTTTACTACTTACTTACGATAATCTAATCCCATGATTTAAGCTGAGTCGACAGTAAGTGAGCCTAAGACCTGTCTGGTCTCCCTGCTGAAATCCAGCTGAGCCCCGCTGTGAAAGTGCTGCCGACAGGCATTCTAGCCCATCATCCCTGACACTAGGTGACAGGACCTTTGCTGCATAAAAACTTTAAAGGGTCCTCCTGCGTGCCAGTGGCCCCCTAAGAGCCCCAGCGATGGGTGAGGGCATTAAAGTAGAGTTGGGGCAGAGTCACTTCTCCAGCAGCCCAGGGCATCGGGATACAACCAAAGCTCTGGGCCCTGTGCTTTCTGGTGTCAGTCCCCACTGCTGCCCTGGAGAACCAAGAAGAAACAAAAGCCTAACTTGCCCCAAGGCACCTGGTTGGTTTACCGGGAGGTCTAGGAGACGTAATACTGACTGGATGGACAATCTCACTGCCTGGAAAGTTCATCTTCCCTGGCAAAAACAGAGGTCAAGTTAACAGCACTTGGCAAAAGACCTTCTCCCCACCTCCCCGTCGACCCCAGCTCACTCCTAGGGAGCAAGGCCAAGCCTCAGATTGCATATGGAGAGGGAAACCAGATGTCTGGCCTGTGTGATGGCTGCATCTGGTGATCTCTGGACAGACATCAGCACCTTCTGAAGGAGGCAGAGTTCCTCCTTCTGTGGGCCCAGGGGATGTGGCTCTTAGAGGTAACACGAGCTCTTTGTAAATGCAGAGGGTGGTTTTATACAATTCTCACCAAAACTGGTGAAGAGAGTGGCCAGGCAGCCTGGCTTTGTTGGTGGACTCCTGTGTGTCTTAAGAGACTTGCGCAGCAGGGCTCCTGAAGGCTCTCAGTTCCTCCTGAAGAGACAGCCTGGCCTTCAGGCATCTGTTGAGAGGAATCAGGCTCCCAGGAGAAAACACACTCTCACTTGCATAGGAGGCAAAGCAGTTACTTAGCCTGTTTCTCTGATGCCCAACATTCAGGCACTCATTTCTTCTTCTTGGTGTGTGTGTGTGTGTTTTCCAGTCTTAAAAGCATTTGAAAGGCTAGAGCAGTGGCTCAGTGGGAAAACCCACTTACTTTGCAAGCATAATGACCTGAGTTTGAATTCCTACTGTCCACATGAAAAAACCACCCATGGTTTCAAGTGCCTATAATCCCCGCACAAGGAAGCAAAGAAAAATGGCTCCCAAGGAACAAGATGGTCAGCCAAACAGGGAGCTCCTGATCCAGAGAGGAAGAGCAAGCTGGAAAGTGAAGGAGGAAAACCTCTGGTGCCCATGGCCTCCTTCTGCTTCCCTGTGTGCACACCCAGTGGGGCTTCAGTCTCGTTTGGAGTAGGCGATCTGGGTGGCAGAGGGGAGAGTCAGTTTTGGAGTTAACTCTTTGACAGGGGAGGGGTGGAGGCTGGGACAGCTGAGGAGCGGTGATTAGTGATGGAGGGGACACTAAGGGGGTGAGGTGGAGGGGTCCCAATTAAGAGTGAGCAAACTGGGAGCCACCTGCAGCACACTGATGACAGAAAAGGGAGGAGTTGGTCCCGCCTTGCCCTGTGCACAAACTTGGGTGCAGGAGGTATCTCTTAGGAACGTGAAAATACCAGACCTTCTTCCTATGTTTCTTTTACACTAGTGTGTTGTCTAGTGGACACAGCGCATTGTGGCGTGGCAATTCGCCTTATGTGGATATTCACGCCTACACTGGGTTGTGAGCTCGCACGCGTGTGCGCGTGTGCACACACTCACACACACACACACACACACACCAGGCTGCTGACAGGCAACTCTGGGAAGGACTGCTTCCTGTTCCCAGACTTCTTCGTTTCCTCCGTGACATTTTATACTTTCTCAGGTGACTGGACATCCCAGGGCTGGTCCAATAAGCTTGTTACCTGGAATAACTCTACCCTGTCCTGAGATGGTACTTGCTTTTTGAGGGTGTGAAATATGCGGATTCTTGTATGTAAACAGCCTGTCACTAAAGAAATACAACCAAACGGGAAATAAAGCATAAACAAAATACAACAAAACTGTGAGATGTACAAAAGACAACCGGAGGAAAGGGAAGTCATCCCCGTGCACACAGGGCAACCACCCGTAAGGTGAGACCGGACACACGAGGCGGCGTAGAGCAATGTGAAGAACAAAGTCCCCAGCGTGCCTTTTAGGAAAACAGGCTTCCGATGATCAAGGTTTGCACGGCACTATGGAACTTTTTTTTTTTAAGTAGTCATGGTGGTTTGAAAGAAAATGGCCTCCATAGGCCTATGAGGAGTGGCACTATTAGGAGGTGTGGCCTTGCTGGAGTAGGTGTGGTCTTGTTGGAGGAAGTGTGTTACTGGGGGAAGACTTTGAGGTTTCAGATGCTCAAACCAGGCCTAGTGTAGTTCACTGTCTCCTCCTGCTGCCTGCGGATCAAGGTGTAGAACTCTCAGATCCTCCTCCAGCGCTGCGTCTGCCTGCTCCCCGCCATGATGGTAATGGACTAAACTTCTAAACTTTAAGCCAGCCCCAATTAAATGTTTTCTTTTAAAAGAGTTTCTGTGGTCATGGTATCTCTTCACAGCAATAAAACCCTAAGATAGTAGTCTGTGTCTGTTTGTTTGTTTGTTCTTTTGGGGAGTTTTGTTTTGTTTTGTTTTTATAGTCAATACCAGTGGTTAAAATGGGAACCGTGTATTAGTAATGAGAACAGCATTAAAAAAGGCATTCACTATGCTGGTGAATATATGAAGTGGAAACTTGAGACCTCTTACCTTTGTAGGAAACATTTTGCAGGTACTTCTGGATTTGGGAGGGAGTGAATGAGTCTAAGATCATCAAGAAGTCCAGGCAGGCTTTCCCGTAGTCACTCTCATATGTGGTCTGCTTCTTAGTGCGCTCCTGATTCCGTATATAGCTATGCAGCACAGAGGGCACTGCAGCGACACAGGGACAGTGGCACAGGTTGTCAGTAAGCCATCATGCCCACACCCTTGTTTGGACACACCCCTCACACCGAGCCCTGCCTGGAGCCTACTCAGCATCCTTACTGGATGCTACCTAGTCATTCTACCAGTGACCAGGGGCTGTGCCAAGCTGTTGCCACAGTGATGCTGGGAGTAGGAGAGATGAGAGACATGGCCCAGTGAGGCACCATTTTCGGAAAATCTGTTCTTTTTTAAAAAAGGTTTTATTTATTTATCATGTATACAGTGTTCTGTCTGCATGTATGCTTGCATGCCAGAAGAGGGCACCAGATCTCATTACAGATGGGTGTGAGCCACCATGTGGATGCTAGGAACTGAACTCAGGTCCTCTGGGAGAGCAGTCAGTGCTCTTAATCTCTGAGCCATCTCTCCAGCCCATGAGTTCTGCTCTTAACACTGTGTAATGTTTGCTATTTGCTTAATGATAAACAGACTTTGTAAACATTTCATTTTCCCTCAGGACATCCCCGAGCATCCTCAGAGGGGCACACGAAGAGACTCATTGCCGGTGACTTACGAAGGCTTGGGACGAGCACTTTAGAAGAAGGGTGACATTTGCAGCAAGTGTGCACTGTCCATTCAGACTAGAAGAAGTCAGAGGGGCTGGCAACTCCAGCCCCTCATATTTGATATGAACTAATATTAGATTAATGTAGCCTCTGAGATTTTTAGAGCAATAATAACATCATGTTTTAAAAATGATTTTTTTACAAGTGGTCCAACACAAACACCTTAAATACTGTCCTCAGCCCCAGACGTCCTCCTTTTGAGGGACCAAATGTGAGGAACAGGCTGGACCACAGATTTCAGGCCTTCCCAAGAGAAGAGCATCAGGATCTGAGAACTGCTTTAACTAAGAAAGAACACTGAGGTTCTACCCCCATGGTTCTCAGAATTCTTCTATTCTGTGATTTCCTTAGCGTAGAAAATGGCTGCTCATTAACCTCCGTAGAAGAAACAGAATCAGCAGGTACACACTTAGGAAGGAATCTCCTGATTGTGAGACGTTCCAGGGATTGGAATATCAGACAGTGAGGGCTGTACCTTCGAGAGTGAAACATTGCTCTGGGTATATAAGCAGGGACAGTGTCAGTCCTCAGCAAAGGCGCTCACCCCTCAGTGAAATTCACACAGAACTCAAAGCTCTAGACTGGGAGTCGGTGTTCTCCTTTCCATCATGTGGGTCTGGGGTATTGAACTTAGGTCACCAGGCTTGGCTGCAAGCACCTTTAGCTGCTGAGCCATCTCAACAACCCATCAAGTTATTTTTTTTTTTAATGAATGGCTTAGAGGTTGCCCAGCAACGGAATTCTTAAAAACATTCCTAACAAAAGCGATAGGAATCAGAATCATGAAAGAACTCTCCCTAGGACAGAGTGAGAACTAAATCTGAAAATGCTATGGTTGCATCATAAGAAAAGGCTAAGTGGTTGACAAGTTGGAAGTGACTCCCCCTAATCTGTCATTGTAGGGCATCTCCCTACTCCAACCACTGCTCCACCCATCCAGAGTGCCATCAACTTAAGGCATAAGCTGGAAGTCTTCTGCGATTCAGTTTCCTTGCCCTAAGACTGAGAACTACAGCATCATGGACACTCTGCAAAGCCATGATCAAAAGATCAAAACTGGCTGCCAGGGCCTTCTGTGTCAGTCTTGGAGCAGAGAAGGTGATGTCAAGCCATAGCAGAAACTGCTGTTTTTAAAAACAAAAAACAAAAACAAAACAAAACAAACAAACAAAAACAACAACAACCAAAAAAAAAAAAAAACAACTTTGCAAACTCGTTCAGGGCTCAGGCTTTGGTGGACCCAAAGGTGGGAACCAAAGATGGAGAAGCAGCAGTGAGAGACATCAGTCAGGAGCCAGGTAGAGAGGGCCAGAGTAAGAAGAGGTGGGAGATGTCCAATCACAATGTATGTACAATTTCCACTGGTTCTGCACACTGAATGCCAGAGCAGACGGAAAATCCCAGGTACAGGGACTGGAGAGATGGCTCAGTGGTTAAGAGTGCTAGTTGCTCTTGCAGAGGACCCAGATTCAGTTTCCAGCACCAACACTGTGCCTCACAACCATCTGTGACTCCAGTGCCAGGGGATCCAATGTCCTCTTCTGGTCTCCCCAGACACACATGTGCTACACAGATACACATGCAGGTAAAACACCATACGCATTTGTAATAAGTTCCAGCTCCCTGCTGGAGAGATGGCTCAGAGGTTAAGAGCACTGACTGCTCTTTCAGAGGACCCGAGTTCAAGTCCCAGCAGCCACATGGTGGCTGACAGTCATCTATAATGAGATCTGGTGCCCTCTTCTGGTGTCCAAGCACATATGCAGGCAGAACACTGTATCTGCAATAAATAAATAAACAAACAAATAAATAAATAAATGTGTGTGCTATAAAAAAACTCCAGCTCCTACTTTCCTCACGCCCTGTGCTTTGGTCTTTTTGCCAATAGACAATATTAGAGACGAACCCATGCCCCTCCTTGTCAGTTAATAATAAAACTCTTTTCAAAAGTCAGAGCCATAACATTGGCTTCTGTGTGTCAGACCGTGAGCCCTGGTGAGTTGTTATGCATTTGTAATCCCTACAGGCCTCCTTACCTAGACCCTGGGAAGCAACAGGCAAAGTTGAGTAGCATCCGTATTTGAAACTAAAATCCTGCAGTTCAGGAATCTTGGCTGGAACTTGGTAATGGTGCCGAAATTCAGTGTCCAGAGGCCGGGGAAGGTACGATTTCCAGTCCTGGGACATGGGAAACCTTTTCATGGTCTTCTTAGCTGGGGTGAGAAGGGAAGGCAATGATTACCCCTTGTGAACTGTTTCCGAGTGGCCTGTCACTGCATCTTGCTTTGGCCAGTGGCTTCCAACTCGCAGTTAAAAGTGACTCTTCTCGAGGTTAGAGGTATAGTCTGTGTACTCTGTGAGTGCTTCAACCAAGGAACCATTTCCACTCTCAGACAAGAGAGAGTATATGCTTCACTGACCGCTGTTGTTTTTGTTGCTGTTTGTTTTGTTTTTTACTCTTTGCTCTTTTGAAGGGGTCTGCCACCCAGCTCCGAAATAAATACATGGAATCTTATTCTTACTTATGAATGCCAGGCCTTAGCTCGGCTTGTTGCTAGCCAGCTTTTCTTAAATTATCCCATCTAGCTTTTGCCTCTGGGCTGTTACCTTTCTATATACCTTTCTCTACTTCTTACTCCGTGGCTTCTGTGTTGCTAGGTGGCTGGTTCTGGAGTCCTCCTCTTCTCCTTTCAGTCCTAGATTTCTCTCCCCAGATTTCTCCTCCTATTTATCCTCTCTGCCTGTCAGCCCCTCCTATCCTTTCTCCTGCCCAGCTATTGGTCATTCAGCTCTTTATTAGGCCAATCAGGTGTTTTAGACAGGCAAAGTAACCCAGCTTCACAGAGTTAAACAAATGCATCATAAAAGACATCTGTGACTCTGGTGCCAGAGAATCCCATGCCCTCTTCTGGTCTCCTCAGGCACACATGTGCTACACAGACACACATGCAAGTAAAACACCATACACATTAAAAAAATGTTCCAGATCCTACTTCCCTCACATCTTTGCATCATTAAACAAACATTGCACAGCATAGACAAATGTAACACATCTTCAACTAATATTCCACAGCAGACCATAAGCAGTTTTTGAATGGCTAGACACTCAGTATGATGCTGGGAACAGAAACCAGTGGTGAACCTGCTGGGGACTTCCTAGGCCTTTGTGAGACAAACCAGAGGAAGAGGTTCAGGATTTGGTCAGAGTTGCCATGTGAAGCAGGGTTCTCAATCTGAATGCTGTAATCAGTGAATACTTTTATTTTTTGTGTGATTACATGCAAGTATTCATTATCTGCTGTAGATCACAATTCAGGTTTAACTGGACAGCCTGTTGCTTTTATTTGTTGAAACTGGCAGTCCTAGATGGAGTGGGAGATGTCATTCCACTGTCGGGAACTAGTTAAAGTTTGTCCCTTCCTGACAGAAGGTTGAGGGACACCATTGTCCCTAATGAACAATAACATTATTATTTCTTCAAAACATTTCCACTAAAATCCTCTGCAGCATAGATTCATTCTTTCTCAGTCCCATGTATGTATTGTCTGGGTTCCTGCTACTTGGCCCCTTGAGGCCATTCTCAGAGGGCAGGTTGTGTTTACAAAGCAACCTCACAAAGCCAGAAACTCTTCTTCCCTGTAAAGTTCCACAGTCCACCTCCCTCCTGGATTTCTTTTCTTTGGTAACTGTGACACCATTACCAGTAAGTCATACTAACCCCACCCCCAAGATGATGGCTCCCATTAAGACCAACACAAATTCCTGGCACATTCCATATTTTGGGTTCCATGGTATAATAGTGATCACATCTGTTTTACATGCCAAAGGTCCTAGGTTCAAGCCCCAGTGGAATCGTGATTTAAAAAAATGTTTCTAGGCCAGGTGTGAGTCCAGGCTGGTCTATACAGTGAGTTATAGGCTAGCCACGGTTACATAGTGAGATCTCATCTCAAAATCAAAACGAAGTAAGGCTCTGCATAAAGACACAATATGAAATTATATAGAAGACCATTCAAAATCATCAGCACCAGAAACACATGAACCAGAAACAGGGAATTAATTTTGCTGTCTTCACTCGCTGTTCTAATTCTTCAAAGCCAACTTCTCCAAGCCTGATTGTGAAAACAGCCACTTTTTAACCCCACTCCTCTTCATTCACTGTAATTTCTCAGTGAACCCTCAAAAGCTTAAAGTGTTAAAGAAATTAATGCGCACTACCATACCATTATGTGGTGCATCCTGCAAAAGTTGTTATAATGGAAACACGCATACACAAATGAGAGACAGAGAGAGAGAGAGAGAGAGAGATCCAAAGTTTAGAAGTAGAGAGGCTTCCAGGGCAGAAATGAAGCCAAAGCCTAGACTTAGATGGCGGCAGATCAAAAGCGAAGAGCTGCGGAGGAGGGAAGCCAGAGCGTGTAGACAGCAGGCAGCGTCAGGAGTCTGGCAAACCTGTGGGACAGGCAGCTGAGTAGCCTCCCCATGAGTGTGGGGGTCACTGGGGAGAACCACAGAGAGGGGGCAAGGACCAGATGACACAAATCACAGTCACATCAATTGAGGCATTAGCTTTCATTTTGAGGGTAATAGGAGCCCCCAAAGGGTTTTATGCCGGGTTGACATGGACTTGTACGCCAATGAACCTACTGCGACACACAAAGGATGAGAGGTAGGCAAGAGGCCATCTAAAGAGAGATACTGGCACCCAGAACCAAGACAGGCTGTGAGGAGGGGGAGGATCAGACAGAATAAGAGGCGTGAGAGAGTTTGCCTGCATGTGGGGCAGCCGTGATTGGCCTGCCATGAACAGACTAGAAACGCACACCTTTCAAAAGAACACAGATCTGAGTGCTCTTCTATGGCCCTGATGTCCGCCTGCACCTAACACTGTCCTTTGTTCTTCCACCCACCCAGCTCCAAAATAGTGTTTTTCATATGTTCTGTCAATCAGCAAGTGTTTCCCAAGCTCCTTCTAGCTGCTAAGCCCTCTGCTGGCCTTGAGTGAACAAGGGCCTCTGGAGAGGGGTCTTCCATGGAATATGAAAGATTAAAACAACAACAAAAACCATGATAAGTGGGGCTGGGAAGACAGCTAAACTGTTAGGAGTTCTTTCTGTTCTTGCAGAAGACCCAAGTTGGTTCCTAGCACCATGTCAAATGACTCCCAACCGCCCGTAATGCCAGATCCAGGAATCCAACATCTCTAGCCTCTAAGGACACCAAGGCCTTCAGCAGATGTAGTCCCTGTTTCTAAAGACATCAAGGCCTTCAGATGTAGCCCCTGTATCTGGGACCTCTGACCTCTAGCACCACAAGCCAAACTGATTTATAAATTACTCATTGTGCTAGCCAGTCATCATAACTCTGACCCAATCCCTAACAACAACAATTTGCAGGAGAAAGGACTTATTTGGGGCCACAGTTTCAGAGATTTTGGGTTATGGTTGGGCCTTGGCAGAGAGGACATGGTAGAGCCAAGATTCTCACCCCAAAGCAGCCAGGAAACAGAGAAAGATGAAGAAGAGTCCAGACAAGATCTGTCTTTCCAAGGTCCATCCCCATTGTCCCTACTTCAGTTGCCTCTCAAAATAGTGCCTCCTGCTGGAGCCTGAGCCTTCAACACGTGAACTGTGAGGATATGCATAGTTGCCGGGGCCTCCAGCCATCAACCAGATGAGGCTGCCTCACATACTCACAGAAAAGACACGACTCAATCCTCATAGAGAGTACGTGACTATGGACTACCCTGCTACCTCTGCTAAATTCCAGAAACAGGCCTGCAGCTTAATTAGCAGTTAAAGATTAGCTCAACAGAAATCCCCCAAGTCCACGAGAAGATAGACTTGGACAATAGGGAAAGATTGAGACAGATAAAGTAAGGACCTACGGTCAGGTTACCTAGCAACACAGGAGGTTCTACCCCTGACCTTTTGCCCTGACAGCTTCCTTGAAGCTGCCCCTCCTCGCTTCCTCCTCCAAACCCTTAAATATACCTTGGAAAGATTAAAATCCTGTCACCTTGATCAGATACCTGTCTTGGTGTTCTTTCTCATATCCCCTGCTCCCCATCTTTCTCCTAGGTGTCCACCAGTCCCCACGTTGAATGTCCTGTGGGTCGGGGCACATAGTCAACAATGCCCAGACAGCAGTATTCTGCTACAGCAGAAAACACAGACATTCCCCCTTTTAAGAAAAAGAACTAACACAAGTATCACTTTATTGTAATGAATTCATAGATAAAAAACATCACACAGATGGACTGGTGTAGCCACTCAAATACATGCCCGGTCTCAAGACATTTTCTTAGCTCACAGTTTATTCTCTGCAAAGTCAAGTCAAAGAGCCTGTGTACTTAGGACTTGGAAGAAGATGCACGGAATGATGAATTGGGAAAAGAGTGATGATGGGGGAAGTCCTTCTGTGTATACGTCTCTTACTGGTTAATGAATAAAGCACTGTTAACCAATAGGGAAGCAAGATAGGTGGGACTAGGAGTTGAGGATGATTCTGGGAAATGTAGTCAAGAGTGGAGAGTCAACATATGATCGGGGTGGGGGGGAGAGAACGAAAGTCTGGTGTTCTCTGTAAGATAAGACCTTATAAAAATATGTGTTACTAATTTTGGGTTAATAATTAAGTCAGAGTTAGCTATTAAGAAACCATAACAAATGACCAACAGCTTCATAATTAATATAGTGTCTTGTGTGTTATTTGGGGGCTGAGACAGCAGCGTGACCTAAGCGGCTGGCAGGAAGAATAGGCTTTACAGAGGGAGGCTACCAAAAGCCCTCACACCAGCCTGGAAGACTTCAAACATTTCCCCCCTCCCTGTCCAGCCTTGTTCTGGGAATTCCAGCAGTCCCATGCTCAGCCCTCTAGTTCTACAAACACCCTCGTCAAAACACGCCCAGTCACTCACTGAAACTAACCATAAGCTAAAAAGGCATGACTCTACATGGCTAATTTTTCATCAACTACTGGGTCTGAGAAGGAGTGTCTGTTTTTCTTTTTCCTTTTCCCCTCTCCCTTCTTTTCTCCTCCTCTCATCTTTTCCCATTTCCCTTCTCCTTTCTTTTCTCCTTGCTTTGTGTATTGAGACAGGACCTTGTTACACATGTCAAGCTGACCTTGAATTCCAGTCCTCTTCCCTTGCTTCCAAAGGTGTGGGTGCAGGCATTCACAACAATTCCTAGCTATTGGGAATCTTTTCAGGCCTCTAGACTCCCTGGGATAGATGTGCATAGCAACACACGTTTACTTATTTGCCTGTTTAAACTGCAGTGCTAAAGATCAAAAATGCTACCACTGAGCTGTGTTCCAGCCACTTACCCTTCTTGCAAAGGACACCTTTCTATAACTGACTGACCTTGTTTGTAAAAGTCTGTGTGCCACACTAGCTTGGGGGTTCCTGAAAGAGAAAGACTACCTCCGTGCCACTTAGCACCACTGGGGCAGTACCAGGCACACACCCAGGGAAAGGAGGAATACCTGCTCACCTTGAGCCACATCCACGAAGTCCCTCTTGGTGTGCGAAACAAACTGATTTGCTATCGCTTCCCGGACTTTTTCCATGGACGGAATGGTTACCCAAGGGAGGGGTTGGGTTTCTTCCCCTTTGGGGAGTGTCCACTGAAAGAATTCCTGTCAATGCAAGCACGGTTTTAGTAAGAAAGGCTCACTTCATGGAGTCGAGAATACACATGAATGTCTGTGTGTCCTTATTCTTTGGAACCCCTCAACCGGCAACCATACTGCAGCTGCCTACACAGAGAGCATGGTGAGAGGACCCAGAAGTTACAAACCATAACACAAGTGCCAACTTGGCTGCTTTTCTTGCTGTGACAAATGCCTGGCAAAAGCAACTTGAGGAAGGATGGAATTGTGTAGGTCATGGTTTGAAGGTTATAATTCATTGTGGTGGCGAATGCAAGGTAGCAAGATAAGGATGGTGGTGTTGCATTCTTAATTGGGAAGAAGAGGCAGATAAATGCCCAAGCTCAGCTTCCTCCCCGCCCCACCCTCTTTTGTTCAGTATTGGACCAGAACCACCAGGGATGGCAACACTCATATTCAGGGTGTGTCTCTTTGTTAAAGCTCTCTGCAAACTCCGAGACACACGGGGTGGGATGTCTCTGATGCAGCTCTAAAGCCAGTCAAGGTAACAATGGAGATTCAACCATCACAGATAACATTTGTGTGCTTGCTTTGGCCTTTGACAATGACAACAGAAGGCTATCAACTTCATGTGTTGAGAGTAGAACTCTCGCATGGACCACATGCATGTTAGTTCTGGTCTTGGTGACACATTTGTAAAGAGCAGAGATAGTGTCTGGTGTCCCTTTGAGCGTCTTAGGGAAAAGCCTTCCTCCCTATAGAGCTGCAGCACCGCGGCTCCTCTTCACCACAATGAGAGCCCGGGACTGTAGATGCTCAAGTTGCCTCTCTGTCTCTCCTCCCATCTTCCTCTCTCTTGACTGCTTGTTACAGTTAATCTTCATCGTCAGCTTGATTGAACTGTAAACCAGTGAAGAGACTGAAGAGCAGCTTTCTACATGTCCATGAGGACAGTTCCAGAGAGAATTACTGAGGGGTAAGACCCAATCTGTAGGTGATAGTACCATCCCATGGGCACCCACTCCTTCTCTCCTGATGTTCTGCTCAAATACAGCCAGGAAACATGGGCTGCACCATGAAAGGCTGAGCCAAACAAGTTACCCTTCTTTCCTGCCTGCTGCTTCCTAACAGTAACACAGAAGTGTTTCCCAGCTCCCTCAGAAAATGGCACCGACAGCCAGAGAGCTCCGAGGTCTGCCAAGAGCCGCACCTGCACTCACAGCTGATGTGGTGGGAAATGGCTACGGTGGAAGAACTTCGAGGTGTTTCCAGCAGGGTCCAAGGCCAGCACACTCCAACAGTTCTCACTTCTATCTTGAAACTTCAGTTTCTCCCTTCCTGCTGGGTGGTTGCCACCGTCCAAAAGAAGCCTGCATCGCTTCTCCTGTCTTACAAAGAAAGCCCTGTCTCCATTTCCCTTTCTCTACTAACTAGGAAAGTGCTTTTCAGAATCGCATCAAAATTCTGAGAGATAGTTGTGTGTGCCTATGCTTTGCAGTACCCCTTCGCTCCTCTGTGATTTATCTGCTGCAGAGAACAATTACAAACGTAAAGTCTGTGTTGAAGATGCCACGGGCTGTGCAGGTTTCCTGTCTGGATTTTGGTGATTGCATACTCACTGTGTTATTTAGCAACTGTCTATCCCCGGGACATACACTGAAGGCAGAGTCCTCAGAATAGACTGTCAGTGATGTTTGGGCAAGACAGAATGAGCCACATGATATATGTTGGTTTTCTCTGTGTAATGGTAGCGGCTGTTGAGACTCGGTGATTAATAGTGCCCACAGCCTGGTGCTAACACTCATTGGTTGAAAGCACAAAGGGCAGTCTGACACACCAGTTCTCACTGGCTGAAAGCACAGGAATCTGACACACTAGCTCATGTTGACTAAAAACACTCAGAGTACCATGAAAACACCTATTAATGGTCTTTAATAGGGAGCTGGAGAAGTGGCTCAGCAGTTAAGAGCACTGGCTGCTCATCCAGAGGACCCAGGTTCAATTCCCAGCACCCACATGGCAGCTTACAAACATCTGAAACTCCAGTTCCCAGGGATCTAATACCTTCTTCTGGGTTCCACGGGCACCAGACACACCATGGTGCACAGATGTACACACAGGCAAAATGCCTATACACCCAACAAATATTTGAAGTCTTTAGTCGTGCAATAGATACAGGGAAATCTTATGCCTATGTATACGTATACATTTTCAATAAATATAACATATTATTTTAATTGTTTAAGAGTTATTTATTTTTTCTAGGTAGAGTGGCACACATCTTAATCCCAGCAGTACTCAGCAGGCAGAGTCAGGCAGTCTCTGAGTTCAAGGCCAGCCTGGCCTATAAAATGAGTTCCAGGACATCCAGGGCTACACAGAGAAACTGTTTCAAGGGGGGTGACCCTAGTGAGGAGAGACTTACTTATTTTTATTTCCTGTGTATGAGTGTTTGCCAGTATGTGTATATGTACACATCTGGTGCTTCAGAGGCCAGAGAACGTGTCGGGTCTCCAGGAACTGGAATCATGAATGATTGTGAGCTGCCATGTGGGTTCTGGAACTGAGTCTGGACCCTCTGCAGTAGCATCAAGCGCTCTTTAATGGCTGAGCCAATGGAAGCCAAGAGAAGACGGATGAAATGTGTCATGGTGTATGTCCTTCTGATTCTCAAGTCTACATCTCCAACTCATCTACCAGCTGGACAGACTTCCACCCAGTGTGTCATCCCATCTCTCCCTGTCTTTCACCACCGCACCGAATCCTTCCAGCACAGTCTGCAGCATCAGCATCACAGGCACAAGTCATAAATGTGGATGTTGTCTTCCTCTCTTCTCTCTCAGTCATCACCATCATCCACTCTACCACCGTGTCATCTAAAGGATGCCTCTAGATGGTTCCAGCCCAGGTGGCAGTCTGGATAATGAAACCCTTTACAACAGAGCCTTTTGTGATGGGAGAACAGATGGTGCCAAGAAAACACACGGGGAGGATCAGTTATCTTTGTCCACTGGGGAAGGGAAGAGATAGCTCTTTGGGTTGAGCTTTGAAGAAATGGAGGGGAGGCTCCCCTTGGACAGGAGAGGGAATTCTAAGGAGAAGGAAGTGATAAAAGGCAGAAAGGACTGAGTGCCCAAAACATGATCATAGCCACAAGTACTCTCGTGCATACCTGTTCATACAATACTACGCACAATAACCGAAAGTCAGGACCATCCCAAAGACAGATCACTGGACAAACAGAAGAAAAAACATAACATACACATGCAGTGTTGCTCAGTTGTTGAAAGTACTGATGCTGCTATATCATGGGGAACCCCAGAAGGTGGTACTACATTGAAGAAATCAAACACAAAAATCACACTACATGATCTCTCATAAAATATCCAGAATAAGTAATCCATAGGGTTCAAAAGTGGATGGGGAGGGGCTGGAGAGAGGGCCTGTGGTTAAAAGCACTTGCTGATCCTGCAGAGAACCTGGGTTTAATTCCCAGCCCACACAAGCAGACTCACACCCATCTGTAACTCCACTTACCAGGACATCTGGTGTTCTCTTCTGACCTCTGCAGGTACCAGGCATGGACATGGTACACATACATGAAGGCAAAACATGCACATAATATAAATTAATCTTTTTTTAAGGGCATATCGGTGGGTTCCAGGGTAAAGGAACAGGGAATGGAGAGTGGTTGTTTAATGGGCATGGTGTATCCTTCAGGAATAAAAAGAAAAAAAACCTTTACAAGCTTGCCATTGTAGTGCACACAACAGGGATGTAGTAAACACGGCTGATTGTTCCCATTGTAGTGGCTAATTTTGTGTTACATGAGCATCATTTCAGTTTTTTGTTTTGTTTTGTTTTTCCAGACAGGGTTTCTCTGTAGCTTTGGAGCCTGCACCAGAATTCACTCTGTAGAACAAGTTGGCCTCCAACTCACAGAGATCCCCTGCCTCTGCCTACCGAGTGCTGGGATTAAAGATTTGCACCACCATCACCTGGTTTATTTCAGTTTTTAAAATCTCCAAACTCTAGGGATTAGAAAAAGTGGAAAGAAAGACGATAAAGGCAGTGCAAGGAGGAGCATGACTGTGGCCACCGCAGACAGACGGACTGTCTTTGCAAGGCTCTTACAGACTGAAGACACTGTTAAATCCAACAGATGAGTAGCTGGTGTCTTACTTGACCAAGATGAGCCTTATGTGACCTTAGTCCTCTTGAAGTCCCACTTTTTATCTTATCTTCTTTAGGATATGTCTTCCAACAATACTCCTCATTATAATTTGTCTGGTTCAGAATAGGATCGCTAAGAGAGTAGGTAAAACCTAATCTTCTGACGCTCTTTGGACTGCAAAAACAAGAAGTAGAGATTAGAGTAAGGGGCTATCTTGGTGTCCTCTCCAGTTACGGTGACAAAATCCTCTGACAAAAACCCAGGGGAAGAAGGGCCTCTTCTTCCCTACAGTTCAAGAGCACAGGTCAAGGTGGCAGGGCTTGAAGCAGCCAACCACATAGCAACCAGCAGTCAGAAATCAGACCGCAAGGGATGCTCAGCTCCCTTCCTCCACAAACACAGTCCAGGATCTCAGCCAGGGAATGAAGCCACCCACAGTGGGCGAACCTTCCCACCTCAATCAGGCATTCCCCTAAGCCTGTTTCCCAGGTGATGCTAGGTTTTATCACCATGACAACATTAATCATTGAAGAGACTAAGTACCACATTCTCCAATGATATGAATGTCAAATTATTATATGTATTTTATAGTTGTTTTTAAAGATTTGCTGGCTTAAGTCTTGCCAGATATTACTTGATTTTCAGATTCCCTTAATAAAATCAATTCTCTAAAAGGGTAAGGCACATGAATTGGGATATTGTTACCTTTCAAACATTTCTATTAAGTTTTTTATATGTATGAGTGTTTTGCCTGCCTGTATATGCACATATGGCACCTGAGACCAGCAGGGGGCACTAGATCCCCTAGAACCTGAGTTACAGATGGTTGTGAGCCACCATATGGGTACTGGGAACTGGAGCCAGGTGCTCTGGAAGAGCAGCCAGTGCTATAACCACTGAGCCATCTCTCCAGCCCTGGATATTCTTCTCCAGTGTGCAAGTCCCCAGTGAAATGTGTGTTGCCAACACTGTAACTCACAGCTAAAAAGAGATCACCAAATAGTATCAGATATTACCACTAAATGGTGCCATCTCCTGGTATCACCCCCACATGATATTATCATGAGATATTACTGCCAGATACCATGTGCTCCTAGACATTTATACCAATACCAATTAAGTATTATTTTTTCAGAATACAGAATAAAAATCAACTGAATTTTTTAGATTATGGAATTACAGGAAATGCATGAAAGGGAGAGGAAGGCAGGCATTGGGACAACCCTGATCAGAGAGCTTTCAAGAAAGTCTGCCTGTCACTCAGGCTCCACGATTGCCTAGGTGCTCCTATAGAGTGAAGGACGTCACTGGGGCCTGAGTACCACACACCCAGTCGAACGCTGCAGATTCCCACACAGGGGCAGCCTGGCTGAATGAAGTCTGGATCCCTGTCTCCTAACAGCTACAAAATGTTCATTGGGCTTCAGGGGAGGCTTCTAAATGACAGAAGAGCATGCAGGATACTTTAAATAGGTCTCCCCCTCACATTTTAAAAGATAAGCATTTTTGTTTTTCAGTTTTTAAAAAATCCCTGGGAAATGTCATTAGCTGGGAAGGAAGACGAGACTGACACAGGAACTGCACAGGCCGCTGCTGACGGCTTTAAATATAACGAGGCTTTTCTGGGCCATCATACTTCTCAAGATTACTGCGTGAAACTTCTTCATAAGAATCATGTGCTATGTGACGTTTTTCAGGGTTTGTGCTCATCACTCGGCATGGTATTTTAACCTTATTTTTAATCCAACCATAGTTTGAAATATTCACTGCAATGCAATGTAGTCAACCCTTTTGTGTTACAAATCATTGAAGTTTCTAATACAGAGACAGACAGGCAGGCAGGCAGGCAGGCAGGCAGGCAGGCAGGCAGGCAGCCTGGCCTCAAACCAACCGTCTTTCTGAGTCTCCTCAGTGTTGGGATGCCAGGTATGAGTCATTTTGCCTGGCTAGCTGACTTTTAAGTGTAGCTGTTATTTATTCTCAGAAGTTTAGCATGGTGTTCTATATAATAACATTCTTAACTAGGGAATATCACCTATTTGTTTGTTTTGAGACAGGTCCCATTATGTAGCCCTGACCAGCCTGGAACAATGTAGACCAGGCTGGCCTTAAAGGTGTGAGACACCATGTCCAGCCCGCGTTGTTTTCCCTAATACTCCCCCGTTTATGGAAAGCTTACATGTCTTGTTTCTTTATTTTCATGGTTTGACTATATAGTTAATCACATAAGACATATATTGTTTTATATTTTCCTTGTCTACTTTTAATAATCTTCCCTAAAAATGTATTCCATAATTTATGTTTCAATATTCTTCTTAATATTCCTTAAAATATATATTAACATTTATGTGAATAGTAAGTGTAGATAGATTTCATCTTGACAGGAAATAATGTAGTTTTGCATCTTTAGCAATAAAAGTGATTTTACCAAGCACACAGAGATGCCATAAACTGTACAAGATAAAATTTTGGTTCCAATATTTAGACAAAAATGTATTTAAAGTCTGTGACAGTTGAAAGCCTCTCTAAAAACTTCTACCAGGGGTTGGAGTGGTCAGAGCACTGGGCTCAGTGGTCAGCACACTGGCTGCTCTTGCAGAGGACCTGGGTTCAGTTCCCAGCAACAATGTGGCACTCACAACCTTCTGTAACAGCCCCAGCGGATCCAAAGCCCTTTTCTGGCCTCCTCAAGCATCAGGCAAGCATGTGGTACACAGACATATATGCAGGTAAAACATCCATACACATAGAATAAATTTAGGAAAATTTTAAATCTGCCTAACATTTGTTGAAATTCCTGTTTCTGTTTTCCAAATCTGTCCTGAGTTAGATTAAGATTTTAAAAGTTACATCAGAGTGGAAGAAAAATAGGCATAATTCAGCCGCTGTTTGATTCGGTGGAACTGCTTATTTCTCAGACTTTGAAAATGGGGATTAACTCAGTAAATGCATGACAGACCTTGTCATTTGCTTTCAATAAAATGGGATGGGTTCTCCACCAAGCCATCAACATATCAGCGGCTAACCATCTCCTTGTGACTTCTGGCATCTAAACAACACCCTGACACTGGATCTCTCTCTCTGTTACAATATGCTCATTTATAGATGGACACTTTCCTGGGCACTAGAAAGAGGCTGGAGCCAGGTGCCCTACCACCCTAAAAACAACACTGGCAGCTGAATGCATAAACTCATTTATCTCACTAACATGTAGTTCCTCTAAAATGAATTTTAATTTATTAATTATTAACTTCATATATGCCATATAAATCATTTCATAAATAATATATTTATTATTGGCTTCATATATATTGCTTTATACAATTATGTGCTTAAAAGAACTGTGATAACTCAATAATACTTACAACTTATTTTCAATTTATATATTCAGTTACAAAGAAGTATAATAGGGTGATCAATACATTGCTTTCACAACCTACATGTCCTTCTGCTGGAGAACGGATAATGAAAATGTGGTACATGTACACTAGGGACTACTATATAGCTGTTAAGAAAAATGAAACAATGAACTTTGCAGGTACATGAGTGGACCTAGAAAGATCACATTGGGTGAAGTAACTGACCCCAAGACAAACATTGCCTGCTCTCTCTCTCTCTCTCTCTCTCTCTCTCTCTCTCTCTCTCTCTCTCTGTGGTTTCTAACTCCAAATCTTCATATACAAATGTATGCCTCACTTCTCACCAGAGAAACATCTGCAACAGTCAGAGACCATTACAGAAAACTGTAGCTTACCAAAATGCAGAGAGCAAGTGGCTGTGTGATGCCCCACCCCAGCTGATGCATCTTCAACACAACCCTGCGCCTAAGGCTCACGGATAACTGGCAGAGGGAGCGGAAAGATTGTGAGGGCCAGAGGAACAGCGAGTTTGCTGTGACTTTGTGTCTCCCAGAAACATCAGTGAAGCTACAGTCACAAAGTCTCACCAGCGTGGCTGCCTAAGCAAGAACTGAACATGGGTGACACCAACAGACATGCTAACATGGAAAAGAAATCTTACAGGGCCTCAGCCCTACACAAAGAACTACAGACAGCGAAGGATCACTGAGGATGGGAGAAATAGTCTTCCCCTAGAGAAGAGGACACCAATTAGTTATCCAGTGGCAAGTGATCAGCTGTGAAATCATATACATACAAGCAACATTATATGGACTAAGCAGGTTGTATTTTATAATTAGAAAAATATATGTATATACACATACATATATAAAACAACAATTAAATAAATAGGGGCCCATGAGTTTGAGAGAGATCAAGGGCATTACATGGAAAGGGTTGGGGGCAGGAAAGAAAGAGGCGAAACAATTTAGTTATATTTTAATTCCATAAAAAAGAAATAAACATGTCACAACAGGGGGAGCGTTTGTGGATGGAGTACAGCACTTAAGAAGGAAAAAGATAACCGTTGAGAGGTGAAGAACAAAGGATGTATTGGAGGCTAAACTGAGCTGTTTAGCTAGTTCCAGGCCGGCCTGAGCTACGTTGTAAGACTGTTTCAAAAGCCAAGGGATGAAAGGAGACATGGTTCAGCAGTAAAAAGTGCTTGCTATCCTGTTAAAGACCTGGGTTTTGTTCCCTGTACCCACATGGAAGGCAGCTCACAACTGTCTAACTGCAGTTCCACAGGATCTAATGCCCTCTTCTGGCCTCTATGGGTACTGCATGCATGTGGTATGTACATACATACATACATACATACATACATACATACATACATACATAGGCAAAAACTCATGCATTGTAGTTTTTAAATAAAAAAATGATAAATGAATAAGCATGAGAGCTGGGGTTGTAGTTCAGATGTAGATTTGTTTGCTAGCATGTGTACGACTCTGGGTTTTATGCCCAGCAGCAACAACAACAGCAAAGGCATGAAATAAATTATCAAAAAAGAGATGACTTTTTGGCCAGGCTGTGGTAGCACATGCTTTTAATCCCAGCATTGGGGAGGCTGAACCAGGTGAATCTCTGTGAGTTTGAGGCCAACTCGGTCTACAGAGTGAGTGCCAGAACAGGCTCCAATGCTACATAGAGAAACCCTGTCTCAAAAGAAAAAAAAAAAAAAGAAAACAACAACAAACAAAAAGGACATTTTTCAAGAGTCATCATATGCAGCTGTGGCCAAGACAATGAACTAGGAAAGGACCCCAATTAATATTAATGTGCTAGGGCACTTGAAGTTCCCACTGAGGATGATTAAAAGCTTATTTTAAAATATCAATATTTAGATTGGGCTTAAAGTACCAACCTTCACAGTTATGAAAACTTTAAAAATATGTGAATTTGAAAATCGACGAATACCTCTGGTTTTGGCTTTCATCCCAAATGCTCCCTCTTTGGACAACTGTCAGAGCCTGTAGACCTGGCATCCTCCTTGGGAGAGGACAGTGGTAACTGCCCCAGCTCAGTAGGACATCTAGCAACTCAGACCTACAGCCTTGGAGCTGCTGCAGTCTACCAAACATTTTATGAGTAACTTCTTTGGACTAATTGCTCTGTCAGTGTCTTGAGAGCTCAGAAGACACTCCCTCTGTCTGTGGACAAGGATCATCGTACCCTTTGTACCAACAGGTAAACTGAGGCACAAGTGGTGTGATGCAGATATAACAAGGACTATACAGAAGTTTGCTCATAATCCGCCTGGCGTCTCAGGATCAACTCTAAAGAACAAAGATTCTCATTTACAGAGTGAGCACATGCCATGAGACTCTCCCTGCTGGTCTCATATCCATCAATCATGCAATGAAAGACAGGACTCCCTGCTCATTCACTGTGGGGGTTTGAACGAGAAGTGCCCATAAGCTCAGGTGTTTGGACACTCGGTGGCAGTTTGGGGAGGTCATGGACTCCTTATGTGGATCATGCTTGCTGGAGGAGTACATTTCTGTTGGTAGGTGGCCTCATAGCTTAGCCCACTTCCAGACTGCTCTCTCTGCTTTGTGGTTGAAGATGTGGTCTCTCAGTTTCCTGCTTCATCTGGCTGCTGTCACACCTCCCTAACAATCTGGAACCATAAGCCTAAATAAACTCACTTCAATCATAGCAACAGAAAAGTAACTGATACATTCCCCCCACCACTGAGCTCAGAAGTGGCCAAAAAGCCCACAGCCCTCAGCTCACATGAGTCTAGAGGAGAAGCTACAAGCTCCCACTACAGTCACTGGAAGAATGAAGTACAGAGGACAGCCGTCCGAGCTTCCAGGACAGGATGGGTGATGATGGTGATACATATCCTTCCATGCACATATCTGTCCACTCAACAGTCACTGCTTATAGTCTATGGGAGGTACTCAAGTCATGTATAATGTCTATTAGCACAGGTCTACAGCAACCCACACTGCTCAGTAACACTGGGAGGAATGTGGGGAGGACTTTTCTGATTTCCTTATATGAAGTCTGGAAAGGTAGGTTCTCAAGATACTTGGAAGACCACAGAGTGGACAGTGGACCCTAAGATACTAGTGTCTCCAGTTGCTGTTGAAGGAACTAGACCCTCACGCTTCTTTGGCAGCCATGTCCTCTGACTCAGCAAAATGTGCTGAGCTTCCTGACCTTGTCCGTCCTCCCAGTCCCTATGAGGTCAGATGCCCTCCATGTGGCAAGGAACCAATCAGAAGTTAGCTGGCAGACTCAGGACTGCTTTATGGTAACAATGGCATAACAGTGATGTGCAGAGCATAGCAACCGCCCTGGGAGGGCCTATAGGCTATAGCAACCAGTTAACCAATCAACACAGGACAGGTCACCCAAGCCCTGAAGCACACCAATCCTGAGACTGTTGCATACTTCTAGACACTCCCCTTACACACCCCAATAAATTCCCTGCCTCGCAGCCCCTTGGGGTCCTTCTCACGCCATCTGCTGTGATGAGTGGGCAAAGGGCCGAAGCGAAGATAGTTAGCTCTTTAATAATAAAAGACTCTTTGCTTTTGCATTGGAACAGGTCTCTTGGTGGTTTGGGGGTTCAGAATTTGGCCATAGCACTATTTCTACTTGTTTTGGATTATGATTAATAAAAGACAAAGTCAAATTGCAATGGGTCTCTCGACGTGACACAAGCAGACACCTACCGTATTAGATTGGCCACTGCTCCTGTTTTAGGTGTGAATGCTGTCCTCATTGTGGTAGCATAGGAATCCCAGTTGGTGTCACCTGCTAAAAGGACACCAGGGTGATTTGAAGTGTAGCAAAGCAGAATATCCTGACCATATGTTGTTTCCGTGATTAAAATAAGATCGTAAATGAAAAATCTGTGCAGTAATTTCATCTTAGGGTCCAGTGAACCATAAGGGTCAATTAACGGTCTCAATAGGAAAGGGGAGGTGGACTTCACCATTGGGTTTATGCCAACATTGAAACAGGCCCATTCATAGATGCTATTTTTTGTATTTATGTGTACACATGTGTGAATGTGTGTCCCATGAGCTAGTGACTGAAGAGTCCAGAAGAGGGCATCAGATGATTCTGAGCTGCCAGATGTGGAACTGAACTCGGGTCCTCTGCAAGAGCTGTCAATGCTCTTAACTACTGAGCCCGCTCCTCTGTCCCACATACATGCTATTTTTAACAGCTCTAAGGCTTTTGTTCAAAAAGTTGATTTGAGTTCTACCTTCAGGTGGCTCCTATTACATTTTAGTGGCCAGCTTGCATCATGTTAGGGAAATACGTCACACGCTGAAATCCTGGATGCCCCTCCTTGATCTCCATCTCCTGTCCACTGTCACTCTCCTCCACAGTCTTCCTCCCTGCCAGCCCCGTCCTCCCTGTTTTATTCTACAGCTGTATGAGGCAGAACAAAAAGAAAAGAGGGAGCAGGGGTTTTCGCCTGCAGAGAACAGGCAGGATTTTCCACAGATACTTCAAACAAGGATGGTAAAGACAACTAACGCACAGGGCCAGAAGTTTACCATGTTAGAACCCCTCGCCCACCCCTAGATATACACACAAAACCACCTTAAACAACGTAAAAAACCACCTTATAGTTTCAAACCACGCCAGAAATTCTTGATGCAAGAAACAAGCTTGCTTATGTATCTTTAATTAATTTTAGATTTTATTTAAATTTTAAGCTTTGCTTAATTGTTAAACTTTGTTGTAAATTATACCCTTGAAATTCTGTAACTCGGAAACTCACAGAAATGTACGTATGAGCTCACTGGAAAGACGGTGGAGCCGGGTGTTCCCTGGGGAAGCCCATAGCCAAACTTGGATATGTCTCATTCTTTCTCTAAGTATCTTTCTTTCTCTTAACGTTGGTGCTTAAGGTCCATGTTAGAAATGTCTAATAAATTCCAACTCTTCTTCGTACGCTTGCTCACAGAAACTCTTTCTGCAACGAAGCCCCTAGGATTCACCTTGAAGGTAACTCCGTGGGTGCTGTAGATAGCAGCACAGAGCTGTGTCTCTGCCTCCCCTGACATGCACACACGGCCATGTAATTGTATGCTGACTTATATATACACATGCAAGCATAGACATAATGGATGTGGTGGTCTGAATCAGAGCGCCCCCATAGGCTCATATATCTGAATGCGTAGTCACCAGTTGGTGGTGTTTGAGGATTAGGAGGTGTGGCCTTGTTGGAGGAGGTGTGTCAATGGCTGATGGACTTTGAGGTTTTAAAAACCCACGCCAGGCCCAGTGTCTTCCTCTCTTCTCTCTCCCCACTCTGCTCTCTCTGTGCCTCATGTTTTAAGCTCTCAGCTACCACTCCCAGCACCAGGCCTGTCCACCTGCTGTCATTGTTCTCTGACATGATGGTCATGGACTCTAACCCTCTGGAATGGCATCAACCCCCCCAAATTAAATGCTTTCTTTAATAAATCACCCTGGTCATGGTGTTTTGCCACAGTAATAGAAAAGTAACTAAGACAGTGGGATTCGGCTCTCGCCATTTTGATCTGCAAAAGTGAATTCATGTTAAAGGAATCTTTTTCATATATCAGCCACTAGCAGTGTCTTACACTGACTTTCCTGGAACATAATAACTCACCTTTATCAATAACTGTAAAATTCTGGAGCATGGATGTTACTGAAACTATCAGTGCATGTACGATCCACAGGGAAGTTAATTTACATGGTTAAATCCTGGGATTGAGGACTAAGAATAAAACCCAGTGAAAAGAACTGCAAAAACCAGACAACTAGTAAAGGAGAAACCCAGCACGTGGTGTCCTGAAAGGCAAAGGAAGTACCTTGAGATGACAGAGGAAACAATACCAAATGACTACAGAAGGATGCTGAGGTCTGCCATTGGGCATCAGCAATAGCAGAGTTTATCTATCCAGGTCCCTGTGTCAACAGACCAGCTCCTTCCATCATTAGACCAGCTCCCTACATCACCAGACCAGATCCCTGTGTCAACAGACCAGCTCCCTACATCATCAGACCAGCTCCCTACATCAACAGACCAGCTCCCTACATCACCAGACCAGCTCCCTACATCACCAGACCAGCTCCTTCCATCACCAGACCAGCTCCCTACATCATCAGACCAGCTCCCTACATCACCAGACCAGCTCCCTACATCACCAGACCAGCTCCCTACATAAACAGACCAGCTCCCTACATCATCAGACCAGCTCCCTACATCATCAGACCAGCTCCCTACATCACCAGACCAGCTCCCTACATCATCAGACCAGCTCCCTACATCACCAGACCAGCTCCCTACGTCATCAGACCAGCTCCCTTCATCATCAGACCAAATCCCTGTGTCAACAGACCAGCTCCATAAATCAACAGACCATCTCCCTACATCACCAGACCAGCTCCCTACATCATCAGACCAGCTCCCTACATCACCAGACCAGCTCCCTACATCATCAGACCAGCTCACTAAACAACAAAGTGCCACAAAATTTGTTAAGCATACAAAGTCTCCCTTATCTGCACTTTCAATTAAGGGTATTTTAGTCAATCACGACTCAAAACTACCAAAGGGAAAATTCTAGAAATTAAATTTTAAGTTTAAAATCGCATGCCATTTTGAGTTCAGTGATAAAAATTTCATGCCATCCAGCTCCCTCCAGCTGGGGCTGTGTACCACTGTACTGTCCATAACATCCACACTGCATACACTGCCTGGCCCTTCCTTGTAGTTCCCAGTGGCTTGTAGGTGGGGCCAGTACCAAATATGATCTCAGAGTATAGTACCTTCAGATGTGTTCAGTGTAAAGTCAAAATTCTGTCATCTGACTCTCTCTCTCTCTCTCTCTCTCTCTCTCTCTCTCTCTCTCTCTCTCTCTCTGTGTGTGTGTGTGTGTGTGTGTGTGTGTGTGTGTGAGTATGAGTGCTTGTGCACACCCATTCATGTAAAGGCAAGTTTGCTCTAATCAGACCCAGACATGCCTTGAGAACCCTGCTCCACATGGTACCTTCCAGTCCATCACATAGACACATGTCCTCTTCAGGGGTCTTTCCTCTGCTGAGGACAGCTGAGAAGTGGCAGCTGGCAGTGTGGATAACTGAGTGCCTGGCTCTAGAATACTCTGGGGACAGGAACATCGTGCCTGACTGCCCCTAGGCCAAGAAGGTCTCCTTCCCATGCAATTAAGCATAGACCATAACTTCTGTCTGTACTCTAATCCCAAGGCCCTTGGATGCCCATCTACTTTCCAACATATCTCCGTTTGGTGTTGAATGCTCTTCTTATTGTAATCCTTTTTGTCAGTTTTGTATGTATGTGCTTTGACCTCCATTGACAACTTTCCTGAAAATGGTGTTATCGGAGTTAAGCCTCTACATTACATGAGAATCCATGATCCATAATGACAGCATCCTCAAACTGTTTCTGGTGAAATGCTTTTACCTCACTGGTTTCTTTTGCATTCTCAGTGGTCAGTGGTATCCCCCAAGGCTTTCTCTGTGGTCCCAAACCCATCTCTCCTGTGGTTCTGTTGTTGTCCTGGTCAGTTCTTTCTTCTCTGGGTCTAGTTCTTCGGATTCCCTGCCATGAGTCAGCACCATGCTCAGCACTGGGATGGGATACAGAGCCCTTCAGGGGCTTGGGAAAGCACATGGTCCTATGGAGATGAGCTGAGTCCCAGGAGCACAGTTTCAGCAGTGGGCTGACATCCTGTGCACTCCTGGCACCCTGAGAAGGATGCTGTTCTTTTGCCCAGATGTGGGGGAGGGTCAAGGGCAGATCCAGAGGGATTTTATCAAAAGAGGGGCATGTGAGCTGTGGTTTAGTTTGAAGGGATCTGACAGGGAAACAGGTGTGAAGTAAAGCATTTCTCAGAAGTGAATATGGAGCTAGAGTCTGGAGTGCCGCAAACAGCCCATTGTGAGTGAAGCTGTTTCTCCAGAGAAGCAGTCCAGCTGCTGAGACCTCCTTTAACTGCCTGCCTCATCAAGCCTTATGCTGGTAACCATGGTGACTTACCCGGTGTGTTCATGGTCGTGTTAATCAGGATGTGGTGGCATAGGCCTTGCATAGCAGCCTTCAGGAGGCAGAGGCAGCCTTATCTCTTGAGTCTGAAACCATCCTGATCTATATATAGAGTTCCAGGCTAGCCAAGGCTACTCAACGAGACCCTGTCTCCAAATATATGTATGTATATTACATTATATAATATATATAATTAAATAGTAACTAATGTGTGTATTGTGCTAACCTGTACAAGGTTTTCTGTGCATATTATTTTGTTTTCACAACAACTTGATAGATGATGCAGGTATGTTGTGGGATAGCATTTTTTATACACTGTGAAGACGTTCGTCTGCCAAGGCACCTTCTGATTGGTTTAATAAAGAACTGAATAGCCAATAGCTAGGCAGGAGGAGATAGGTGGAACTTCTAGGCAGGGATAAGAACTCTGGGAAGAAGCCAAGCTTTCATAATTAATAAGAAGTCCCTATGTCCTTATTTGGGAGCTGGCAGTCCAAAGAAAGTTTGACTATAAACAACATCTAATTATTTTTAACAGTTGATTCTTTTGTTACTTTTATGTGTATGTGGGTGGCTGTGTGAGTTTGTGTGCACCAGGTACCTGCAGGAGCCCACAGAGGCCAGAAGAGCCTGTTGAATCCCCTGCAACTAGAGCTGTAGATAGTTGTGAGCCATCACGTGGGTGCTGAGAACCAAACCCAGGTCCTCTTCAAGAGCATACAGTGCTCTTAACTGCTGAGCCATTTCTCCAGCCCTGAATCTGACAATTCTCATTCTAGATGTTTTGATGACCAAATGCACTAATTAATAAGTACTTATCAGCTGGAGAGATGACTCAGCGGTTAAGAGCGCTGGTTGCTCTTCCAGAGGTCCTGAGCTCAATTCTCAGCAACCACATGGCGACTCACAACCATCTATAATGAGATCTGGTACCCTTTTCTGGCTTGCAGGCATACATGCAGACAGAACACTGTACACATAATAAGTAAACATATAAATAAAGTAGAATTTTTAAAAAGTACTTATCATGTGTTGGATAAGGCCCCAAAAGGCATGTCCATGTCTGAAATCCTGGAACTTGGAAATTGACTACATTCAGACAAGGAGATCCTTAAGCATGAAATCACGGATCTAAAAATGGGAAAATCACCCCGATTGTCTTTGGGGACCTCAAATGCCATATATCCCTGTGACAAACAGTAAGACTTCAGAAGCAGAGACTGAATGACATGTCCCTGGTTATGCGTGCTCACAGAACCAGGGGTGGTAGTGCATGCCTGTATTCCCAGCACTTCCGAGGCAGGCAAGGGAGGATCATGAGTTCAAGGTCAGGCTGGACTAACTAGTTAGTGAGATTCTTAAAAAACAAAACAAAACAAGAAAACAGCTACTGACAGCCAGCAGGAAGGAGGGAATGTTGGTTCCTGGCCTGGAGATTCCAGAGGCACAAGGCCTCAACATCTAGAATCTAGATCTAGATCCAGCCAGCGGGCTTATACATTGATGTCATTTTAAGCCTCCAGTCTGTGGTTTCTTATAACACCCATGAGCAAAAGCATACAGTGCCCCAGAATTGCTCACTCAGTGAGCATAACAACAGGCATCAGTCTTTGAGGAGGATGACTTTATTAGTAATGGAAGATGCGGTTGGTGAGTGGTTGGGACAGACTAAAGGGGCCTGGTCAAGGTGACTCAGGAGAAGAAAGTAGGGGCTGAATCGAAGAGATGTGTAATCAAACTAAGATATCAAGGAAATTAGGCCACCTTCTCTTAACAGCCTGGGCCCTTATCATTACACTCTCAGTGTGTCTGGAAGGTTCCAAGGAGACCAGGGACATGATTTTGCCCATACTGAGGTAGAAGCCCTTCTGGGACACCCATGAAACCGCCTTGTCAACAGTTGGGTCGTTGGGTCTGCACATTTGGAGCTGGGGACAAAGAGTGGAGTCCCTGGCGTTTGTGCAGCACCGGAAGTGCTGTGGAGTATGATCACCCAGGTAAGTGGGGAAATGCTAATCCCACCTATTCCAAACAAGGAGGGTGACTCCTGGCGGTGGAGCAACCCTAACATAATGCTTAGAAAGGGAAATTAAGGAATTCCCTTGGGAATCCTGGGAGCTTTTCCCTCCTCCATCTCTGGACCTCGTTATCCCATAGAAACTAAGAACATTTAACGTTTTTGAGCTGATTTTTTTTTCACTTTCCATTCTTAGTTCAGAGAGTTCGACTGGAATGTAAACACACTCTTCATTGTTCTCTTAGAAGCACAATTCTAAAGAACCCGCATGGCCCTGCAACCTGCCATTATTGCTAGAAGGGATGCAGGAGCTGACGATGCAGTCAGTAATCATGCTACTGGTGTCACAGCCAGGGAGGTTGTCTTTCCGAGAACGCAAAACGCTGAGCTGGTAAACCCTGCTGCTTCTGCAAGCAAGAACCACAGAGCAAAGCTCTCCATCTGTCACCTGGCAGAGCGCCTTTGAAACAGGCCCAGCTAGCTCGCAGGCAGCGTCTGCAGAGGAAGCTGCCCCGGCCCGCTGACCCCGCCCCTCCCTCCTCCCGCCCCTCCCTCCCACCCCACCCGCTTCTGGCCAACTGTATTTGCGGTTTGCCAGCTGGGTTCCTTCTCTCCCTCCCAACCTTCCCCGGTTCTGTTCACTTGTCTTCTTCCCTGTTATCCTTGGAAGGACACTAACTGTAACCTCATCCTTCATCGTGCCCCTACAGAGTTATCCCTGAAGTGTTTAAAGGACACCCCAGAGTTTGGGGCACGGCAGGGAGGGTAAAGGGTCCTACAGGAGCGAGGTCATGGGCTCCCCGTCATTCGGACTCACTTGTGCCTCCTCTATGATAGAAGCAGCGCCACTAGAGATGGATGCTCTTGGGCAGAAAGTACCCTACTTCAGACACCCCCCCCCCACTGCACACACGGCACGCCCCTCCCCGCAGACCCGCAGAGTGCGCAGTCTTACTTGACTGGAACTTGGGGTCACATTGAGTGGGGCACGGAGACTTGTCCTTAAACTGGGCCATCTTGTCCCAAAAAGCCGTCTCTTGCCCTGACAAGGCAGAAATACTCCACTCCGCGTCCCACCTCCTTAGCTGTGCCTTTGTGATGCGTCGCTATGGAGACACCGGTAAGCCTTCTCTTCAGCTGAGTCTCCGCCCCTAGGGCCCAAGGGATGGGTGCTTCCAGCGGGTCCCTGGCTTTTACAGACTTACCCTATCAATACTTTCCAAGCCATTGTTTTGTGTATTGGCAAACGGGAGCAAAGTGAAGAAGAGTAGCGTCAGACCTGGTGCACATGTTTGATCCCAGAACTCAGGAGGCTAAGGCAAGAAGGAGGCCAGACACAAAAAGAGACACCTTGTCTCAAAATAGTAATTAAGTACCCCAAGTATCAAAAACCCCAGAGCAGACTACCAGACTCCCATTGTGTCCATTCATAATTTTCAGTTTAAGCAAATAAAATGTAGACAAGGTGGGCCAGGAAACACTGGGCACCGGCTAATAATGAAGAAAGGCTTATTTCACCTTGAGGGGTTTTTTTTGGGGGGGGGATCCAAGTCCAAAGGTGCATCCAGGCATGGTAGCATAGTCCTGCTCTCCTAGCTCTTGGGAGGTATAGGCAGCAGGACCAAGAGTTCAAAATCATTCTCTACTACATATTGTGTCCAAGAGCAGCCTGGGTTACAGAGACCCTGTTTGTAAAAAATATAAAAACATCCAAACTGCATTCCTGGTACCAATCATATGATGTAGTGAGGGTCAATCTGTTACTGTAAGCTGGCCTACACACCTACTCGCCCCCCCCATGAGTCTGTCTTTATTTTTTTCCCTTTTGTGACCACTTTGTGGCTGAGAAATTTTTATGCAAGCCAGGTATATAAAACAGATATGCAGGTCAAATGTTTATTGATAACCACAAGAAACTTTATTTTAAAACAATTCATTGCTGTGCATATAATTTTACCATCTATGTAAGATGAAAGCAAATGTTCATTCTAATGAGATGGGTGTGCTTGCTTGTTCTCCATAAAGAATGGCATCTGGGCTGAATATTAGATGCCGTGGGGTTATCTTCAGCACTCTCGGAGTCCAACAGTACTTTGCTTTTTATAATTACCAATACTGGGAGCCCGTTTTACACAAATACCTAGTATAAAGTGGCAGAAGTGTGCTTAGGTCCATTTTAAAAATGCAAGTTCTGAGCCGGGCGGTGGTGGCGCACGCCTTTAATCCCAGCACTCGGGAGGCAGAGGCAGGCGGATCTTTGTGCGTTCGAGGCCAGGCTGGACCGATAGCCTCCGAAACAATACAGAGAAACCCTGTCTCGTAAAAACCAAAAAAAAAAAAAAAAAAAAAAAAAAAAATGCAAGTTCTGCCCCAACCCCAGGCGAAAACTCATTTAACAAATATTTATGAAACTCAAGTCAGCAAATCAAATAGCAATTTTTTTTTAAAAAAAGGGAGCAGTTCTGATTGAGGCTTAGAGGAGAATAGTAAAACTTTCCTCAGTGGTCTGAGTGGGGACATGGACAGCATTTGCAGAGAAAGTCCATCACAGCATTCTTCCCAGATATTACAGAACTGTCTCCATCATCTAGCTGGATCCCATAAGCCCTGACTCCCTGTTTATCTCCATGTAATAACCTAGTCTCCTTGCTCAGCTATATACAGTAACCATACTTTTCTGTTCAATAAGCACACTGAGCTTTCAGGCTGCTGAGGTTATGTGTTTGATTTTGAGTTAACATTTAGCATTGCACACACCGGAAACTTTCGTGTGGTCAAATATTTTTGCTTGTTTTCAGCTCCCTCATTCACTTAGGGGATCCCTCACAACTAAGGAAACTGTGGGTTAGTCACTGGGTGAAGTAGGTATTTTTTATTCATATTCTTGGCAACTGCCTGGTTGTTGGCCACATAGGAGGTGCTTAGTAATTACTGAGTAGCTCCAGAAAATAAGACAGCTACCATTCACTCTTGGGAAGAGGGCACAGGAAACTTGGTTAGAAGATGATTGGGAGTCTGGCCTTCCACCCCAGCACTCAGAGAGCAGGGACTGGTGGAGTTCTGAGAATTTGAGACTAACCTAGTCTACATAATGAGTTCAAGCCCAGCCAGGGTTGGATAATGAGATCCTGTTTTTAAAAAAGGAAATAAAAATAACAATTTACAACTCTTATTTACCCTAAAAAGGATTATTCTAACATTAGCTCTTAGAGGAAATTCAGGCCTCACAAAGTGAAGTTTATCAAGTAACGTTGATTAGGCATCAAATATCACAAACTTGTCTGCAAGTAACATTTTAATGATTTATTTTTATCATTTAAGTGTGTGTGTGTGTGTGTGTGTGTGTGTGTGTGTGTGTGTGTGTGTGTGTCACATGTGGGCAGGTACCTGAGGAAGTCAAAAGGAGGCATTAGATCCCTTTGAGCTGGAGTTATAGACAACTATGAACTACCGGATGTAGGTCTTGGGGTCCAGATGTGGATTCTGGGAATTGGACTCGGGTCCTCTGCAAGAGCCACAAGCCATCATCTTTGAAATAAAGAGCTAATCCAGAATTATCTGGTGGCAGAGCCTCAGGCACACAGTGTAGGGAATGTACCACATTCTCATGCAATGAACAGCAGAAGACGTTAGGAGGCCCAGACTTCTGTCAATGTTATTTAAAAAGGAATGAGTCTAAATTAGGGTTTAGTAGTGGCATCTAAATTAAGAAAGTGACACTCAATAACAGATTAGCTGTCTGGAAATGGTAGGGCTAATTAGCATAGCATAATTTAAGATAAATATATTTTTAAAGCAGAGCAATGAACATATAGAATTTTTAAAGTGAGCTCTTATTAATATCTTAGATTTGTCTCATCTCAGGCAAGATAGAATGAGGGGTATGCACTAAATGCAAATCCAGAAGACATCTTTGCCACTTTCCCTCTGGGGGCCCTCGGGGTAAACCAGATGCCTCTGTGGGCTCCAGTTCCCTGTCTGTAAACACTGGGCTTACAAAGTCGATAACCGTGGCAACAGTTTATCAGTGTTAACCCACACAAGAGAAGGCATTTCTCTCTTTCCTCATTTCTACACTATGTCTCCATGTTTATTGTAGTTTCTCATCTCTAATCAACATACATATTTCGGTATGGGTCTATGTCACTGTGAGTGGCATGGCCATGTTCCTGACTTCGAATTTTGTTTGCCCAAGGCAAGCCTGTAAATGATTGAGCCAATGTCTGTTTGGTTTCTTTGGTTGCACGTTTTCCACTCTTCTTTCTCCTCTAAGGGACACTGCTTGTGTACTGAATATAAGCTGTGTAATGACATTGAAAGCGGCACCCTAGCGGTGACAGGATGTTCAAAGAGAAGATTCCCACATCTCAAGGATGCATAGAGCCAGCCCCGTAAAAGGGTGGGATAACACCTGGGGGGAAAAATGGAGTCCAGAGACGCTGAAGAATTTACTGGTGTGTGAAGAGCAAAGCGGGAGAGTGTAGGCACGGAGCTGCAGCAACAGGCCTGAGGGGTAGCCCTGCAAGGCCAGCAGAGGAGCCACAGATCACCTGAGTGTGGCAGGGAACCATTGAACGGTTTGTACGGTGGAGTGAAGGCACCAAGCCAGAACCTTAAACCCTGACCTTTTTTTCTAGAAGGAGAACTCAGAACTGTCACCCAGGAAGCAACAGCTGGGTCACTAATATGCCTAGATGGTTTTGCGTAGAACAACTGAGACTTGAATTCAGTGGGTTAAAAGTTAATTGGTTGTCAAAGTCCATGTGACTGCCCTGGGTCTGACCAGCCCTCTTGAACCATGTTGGTGCCCAAGAGACATACTGCAGCCGGAGCCATACAGATCTGAGTGGCACCTACTACTACCCAATGCCACGGTGACGCCAGGACCAGAGTTGCAGCTGGTGGTCATGTCTGGGTCCACGGCCCCACTGCAGCCAGGGTCTGTGTTAACATCGAGTACCATACTGATTCCACTGATCTGGTCTGCCATCTGGGGTGGTGTTGGTGTCCAGGGGTCATGCTGCCACTGGGGCCATGTCGATATGGGTGGCCTTTGCCGCCATCTGGGGCCATGGTGACAACCAGAGCTGGGCTGCTGCCTAAGACCATGTCTGGGTCCATGAACCTACTGCAGTCGAGGTCTGTGCTGAAGTCCGTGACCCATGTTGCCACCAAAGGCCACATGGAGCCTAGGGTCTAGGCTGCAACGTGTGGCCTTGTTGGTGACAGGGACAGGAGGGGTGTGTGCAGCTGCTAGAGTCGTCCTGATCTTCGTGGCTAGGGCTTCCACCTGGAGCCAGTATGTCCACCAAGCTGAGCTGCTGCCTGGGGCCACCGTGTCTGGGTACGGGGTCCAGCTGCTGCTAGGGCCCACACGGAGGTCCAGAATCTGGACCGCAGCCTGTGACCTTGTTAGAGTCTGGAGGCCATGGTGCAGCAGGGGTCATACAGATTTGGGTGGCCTGTATTGCCACCTGGGGCCATGGTGTCATCTGGGCCCAGGCTGTTGCTGAGGACCATGCCTGGATCCGTGGCTCTTCTACAGCCTGGGTCTGTGTTGATGCCTGAGGGTCCCGTTATCTTAAGGTCATGCAGATGCCTGAGGTCTGGGGCCATGTTGGTTTCCAAGGGCCACACTACTGCTGCAGCAGGTGACCGACCTGAGTAGCCCACACTGCCATCTGGGGTAATGGTGACATCCATACCCAGCTGCTACTGTGGGCCATGTCTGGGTCCATGGTCCCACCATGGCTGTGCTGAAGTATTACCACTAAAGGTCACACAGAAGCGGGGGTTGGTGCCACAACCTGAAGCCTTGTTGGTGTTTTGGGGGACCATGCTGCAACCAGAACCATCTGTACCTGAGTGGCCAGTGCTTCTAACCATAGCCATGATGTTGTCTGGGCCCAAGTTGCTGTCAAGGACCAATATCTGGGTCCATGGTCCAGCTGCAGTTGGGGTCTTTGAGCTGTGTCATCTGAGAGGGCCATAGGAATCATGCATGATGAAATCAGAGGGTGATGCTGAGCCGGGCCCACCCTTCGCTGGCCCTGAGAAACCTGGGCCTGCCTCTCACAGGCCACCACAGCAAAAGAGCTGGCTCTGACCGTCACAGGAGAGCTGGTCCTGCACCTGAGAGAGATGGCCCCGCCCCTTACCACATGGCCCCGCCCCTTACCACAGGTGAGGGAGAACTGACACTGAATGTAAGGAGGTAAGGGAGCTAGCTCTGCTCCCTCACCTGAGGCGAGTGGCCCCAGTGGCCAGGGCTGACCAGCTCAGCTACCACCCAGGCCCACAGCGGGCCTTGGGTTGACCTACCCTAATATGTACCCCATCTAGAAACTGCTGGAGCTCATGAAGGGCCTGGTCCTGTGGAACAATACCCGCAGAATCTCTGTGACTCGGGGAGACCACGGGAAATCCCAGAGGAGTTCCAGAGGACCCAGTGATGATGGTGTACCGGAAACCAGAGGCCTTGAACCACATTGCAAGGCACATTTGCTAGTGAAGCTGACTGGACAAAAGGGTATACTAGGTGACACACCATGGCTCCCAATGCCACCAGGACAAATGAAGAGGCATGGGAGAGGCGGGAAAGAAGAAACAAAGAGGGTTTTTCGGGGGGGTTGTTTGCTTGTTCTGTTTTGGTTTGGTTTTTAATTTTTCTTTTGTGGAGGTGCTGTAGGGATGGGAGGGAAAATGGGGGACCAGGAGATGAGTGGAATTGGGGTGCATGATGTGAGACTCCCAAAGAATCAAGAAGTTAAATTTTAAAACAAGGTAATCAGTTGTTTCCAATGAACATCGCTGTAAGAAATCTCTCTCTGCACACACCACGTGAAGTGGAAATCAATGGGTGGTGTGAGTGAGCAGAGCAATCATGGCTGTCAAGTTGTAAATCTCCAGTGGGGAGGGAGGGAGGGGGTTAGAGGGGCATCAGTGTGCACCCGGCTCTAAATTACTTCATACCATATGAAGCATTCCGCCTGTGCTTCCCCCATTTTGCCATCAGCATTTAGCATCGCTGAAGGTACCAGTGCTGAGGCAGAATGAGTGTGCACCTCATTCTGGCTATGAACCCCAGGCCCTGTGCAGCATCCCCTAGGGGGCACTGACGAATGACTTACTCCTAAAAGTGCAGGCTACAATCTTACCAAGTACAGTGGGGACATAGACCTATTAAAACCATGTCAGAAAAACCGGGCCAAAGAGCTCATCAAAGAGACCAGGCCAACAAGCATAAAATGCTCTCACCTGAGCCGCATGTAAAGATGGATGCCTAATGTTAGATGACAACGGCCCCACTGACCTGTCATCTCACCACCCAGGGCATCATGAACAGCAGACTCCTGATTGTCCTCGTGGCTTCAGCTCATCACTGGTCCCCACTGCCCCACCGGCCACTGAAATTAGCGGTTCATCTCTCTGCTCATCCAGTGGCCTTGAGGTTCAGCTGGACTCCGTGACCTGTGGCTCTACTGTGCCCGCCTCCACACACCTCTAGCTAGGTTCATTAGTATCTATCATCTGCAGCGGCTTTCTCGCCACTTGTACTGGCCCTGCCTCTGCTTCCAGTAAGATCTCTCTGAAGTCTGTGGCCTCTTTTATACCGTTCTCTAACCTGAATATACATGCATTCTCTCTCTCTCTCTCTCTCTCTCTCTCTCTCTCTCTCTCTCTCTCTCTCTCTCTCTCTCTCTCTCTCTCTGTCTGTCTGTCTCTCTGTCTCTGTCTCTCTGTCTCTGTCTCTCTGTCTCTGTCTCTCTGTCTCTCTGTCTGTCTCTCTGTCTGTGTCTCTGTCTCTCTCTCTCTGTCTCTCTGTCTCTCTCTCTCTCACACACACACACACACACACACACACTGACAAGCACCTGACCCACACTAGAAGTCTGAGGATCAACAGCCTGCACAGGTTTTGAGTTCACTTCCTCACTAGGAGGGAGAGAAGAAGAGAGTTGATGGGATGATTCAAAGAGCCAAGTACTGAAGGGTGAAGACCCCTCCGGTGGCTGCTCCCAAAAGCCAGTCCACAGTCACGCCCAGCCACTCTAAGTACAAAGATATCATCTCAGCGACTGTTCCTACTGTTGCGATGAAACCCCTGACAAATGTGATTGAAGGAAGCAAGGGTTTATTTTGGCAGGCTGTCCATCATGGCAGGGAAGTCATGAGACAGCTAGCTGTTGGGTATGTTTGCATCTGAAGTCAGAGGCTGAGAGTGATGAATGTCATGGCTTAGCTAACTTCTCTTTCTGTGGAGTGCAAGGTCCCAGACCATGGGGAATGGGGTGTGGGGCTTCCTACCTTAATGAACTGAATCTAGATAAACTTACCCGAGCAAGCCGAGATGTGCTATGAGGCTGACAACAATCTCTATGAGGCTGCCAATTGATATTAACCATGACAGAAACTGAGTTTCTCTGCCTTTTTTCTTTGATTTGGGCAAGACACTACTACTACATAGTTGTGTGTTGTTTGCATCAAGGAATGTGTGAAAAATACAGTGTGTTCTTTCTAGCTGATTGGTGAACTCCTAAAGCATTATCTCAATTTGTGGATTCATTCTGTGTTAGGATTCTAGAAACGAATGAGCCAGAAACTCACTCTCTCTCTCTCTCTCTCTCTCTCTCTCTCTCTCTCTCTCTCTCTCTCTCTCTCTCTCTCTCTCTCTCTCTGTGTGTGTGTGTGTGTGTATCTGTCTCTCTCTCTCACACACTTCCCCATGCTCTCTCTCTGTGTTCCTCTCCTTCTCTGTGTCTCCCTCCTCTTTCTCTCCCTCTCCCTCTTTCTCTCTCTCCTTTCTCTTTGTCATCTCTTCCTCTCTCTCTCCTTGGGTATTTTCTTGTTTTGAGTCAAGTCTTCAGATATCCCAGGTTAGCCTTGAACTTGCTATGTAGCTATGAACTCCTGACCTTTCTACTTCTTCCCTGAGGCTGTTTAGATCTCAGTGTCATGAAGGCTATGGCAGCTAAGGAGTCCTAGAATAATCACTGTCCTCAGATAGAATTTTCCAGAAAACAGCCATGGAAGGAGAAGGAGAGGGAGCTGGAGAGGAAATTACCAGAAGGGCAGGGTAGAGGTGTGTGACTGATTGAAACACATTATAGACATGTGTGGAATTATCATAAAACACACTGTTATGTATAATGAACATATGCTAATAAAATGCAAAAAGAGATGACTCTGAGGATCAAGTTTCAACATGAGCCTTGGTGGGAACAGGCCATAGAGCCATCCTACTGGTTTTCACTAGTTTTACATGCTAGTTGTTCACATGTGTGCCCAGCTTGAGGCCTCCTTCAGCCAGGAGGAGCTATCACCAAGTTATAGATTTGCCAACCTTACTTCCTTGAAATAGTTGCCAATAAAATAAACTATTGCTGTACAGTTTTGGAGAGGCAGCTAATAAAACTCTGTTGGGTGAATCATTGAGTGACTTCAAAGTCAACCAAGAAATCTTAATGATGAAATTAATGTCCCAGATCTCCAGTCCCTTCCTGGGGGTGCTACTGGCTATTTTCTCAATTCAGTTTCAAAAGAAAATTGTCAATCTTATGAATAGAGTTTTTATTTCCTTGGGGAAGAGTTTAATTCTTGCTATGCATCAACGGTTTATTTCCACTGGTGGAGAGCTGGCTCGAATTCTTTATTATTTTTCTTTTTACTGAGCTTAATAACGTATTTATCCTCCTGTGATGAAGTAGCACTTCGATCCTCTTTTCTCCACACAAACTTCCTTTTCTTCCTCCAAAAACTCCATCACAGCCTAGCTCGTTAAGTGTCTTCTTGAAGAAGTGACTCTGAAAGCCACACTTGTGCTGACATTTAGTGTGCCACTAAGTAAAGCCACCCCCCACAGACCTCAAGGGGCCATTCCATACCTTTCTGGTCACAAATTTAACCAATTACAGGCTGACTGCCAAGAAAAGTTTTAATTGTGCGTATGCACTAGATAAACTTTCAGATGTAAATACCAGGTCATCAGTAGTGTTATCAAAATATGTAGCATGGGAACTTGTTATTAAAGGATAGAAAAAATGGTACACAGGGCCCATAAGTCTGCTTTCTTATGACTCTTTGCAGGAATCCACAAATGCAAAACTTTGATTTTATGAGACTGAATCTTTTGTAGTAATAGCCCAGGCTGGCCTGGAATTCCCTATGAAGTCAGAGTAATCCTGAACTCCTGATTCTACTGCCTCCAGCTCCAAAGTGCTGGGATCACAGGTGTGCACCATGCCTGGCCAGTCACATAAACATTTACATGTAGATTGGATAATGTTTGCCTTTAAGTGAGTCCCATTGGAGCTGTGGGCAGAAAGTTCACTGGTGTTCGATGTACTTTGTTAATGGCTTACTTTCCTTTCTGTGTTAAGATTGCTAAAAGCGTATTCCGAATGCCAACTTGCATGGTGTGCCTGCAGGGAGGTGGGCATGATCTTGTCACTTGCTGATTGCTGCTACCACCTGGCCTTTACATTCCAGACACGGTTCATCCTGGCATCCTGCAGATCCTTCAGCAGCCAGTATCTTGAATGTCCTCGAGGTCTCCCATGGGTGGGATGAAAACCATACTTGCCTCCAAGTGAAGTGTGGCACAGGCTTTGCCTAACACACTTGCAAGAGGAGAGTTTGAGTCAGGCCTGCTGGGGCAGTGAGTCTCAAGGTGTGCCCCAAGCAGAGAGTCAAGTGCTTCCCACAAAAGTTGCCAGGAAAGTCCCCAGAGTGCCAGGCTGCTAGGCAAAGTTCAGGGTGGTAGGCCCTGGAGACTCGCTCAGATTCTTCAGAGAAGGTTCCATGTCGGTGGCACCCTGTGCCATAGGGACAAGGCCCTTCCATCCTATAATCATAACCCTGATGGGAGGCAGCTGCACTGGGCCAGCCAGGGCACCATGCCCAGGGAAGTGGGGAAACTGGCTTCTGTAGAGCCTTGGAGGACCAGGGACTGGCAAAGGGTTGGAAGTTCCCACCTCTTACCCCTTCAACCCGCTGTCTGCCACAGGCCTCCAAAGGGCGACAGCTAGAATGTTCAGACCAATCAGATAAATTGGCTGGATGACTCTTCAGATTCCAGAACACTTGGAAATGATAATTCTGCCAAGAGTGGCTCTGTAACCGACGATCTGGGTGACAGGTTGCAGTTAAAGACATCGTCTATTGAACCTAAAAACACAGTAAATAAGGTGTTTATTATCGCATCCCTACAGAAAGTAAAAGTGCCTCTAAAACTCATTCAAAATAGCCATCTCAGTAATTAATAGAGAATCCTGGCTTCCACAGGGACACTCAGAAAACTGAATAGAAATGTGTTGATTTTTGCTGATCAGTACTGTTTCTGTTGGCTGGGTGTGATGGCATGTGCCTTTAATTCCAGCACTCAGCAGGCAGAGGCTGTGAGTTCACTGCTAGCCTGGTCTTCATAGCAAGTTTCAGGTTAGCCAGGACTACATAGTGAGACTCGTAAAGGACAAAAGATGCTGATTGACACCATTACTCTGACTGCTAGTTGCTTTCCATTGGCCTGGAGATTTGAGGTAAATAGCAGGAGTTGGGAAACATGCTTAGGACAAGAGGCCAGGAGTCAGATTCAGTTTGCTGCTTGGTTTATTCATCTTGCATGACTGAGGGTGAAAACAAGGGCTTCCCACACGCCTGGCAAGCACTCTCCTACTGAGTTCCACTCCCAGCTAGAGGTCAGCTTCTGATATGGACAGAACAGATTGGCAGCCTTGGTGGGCCGCCAGTCAGTCCAGGGAGCTTGGGTGCCAGGCTCGGCAACCTGCCAGGGCGCGACAGGTGTGCCGTAGCTGCACCATCTGTAGTGCAGCCCTCTCCGTTGCTCTAGAGCTGAGGAGGCCCTAGACTTGGCTCAGGGAAAACTTTCTAGGAAGTGTGACACTCGTACCACATGTGCCCTAGTGGAAACCCTAAGCAGGTACAGGGACAGAAGGTGAGTCAACAGTGACCCCGGAATGCTATCCGGATGCTGGGGACAGTGAGTGAGACTGAGGACCAGGCAAATGTGGCACCGCCAAAGCAAGGGTAGACCACCCACCAAGGGTAGACCACCCACCAAGCTTTTGCTTGTAATGTAACAGAGAGGGCACAGGCAGAGAGATAAGTTAAGACAAGATAGGGTGGGGGTGGGGCCAGCCAGAAAAGGAGGGGAAAACAGACATCCAGAGAGAAAGAAAAGCAAGCGGACAGAGGGAGTGAGGGAGGGAGGGAGGGAGGGAGGGAGGGAGGGAGGGAAAGAGGCAGGCAGGCAGGGAGGGTGGGAGGGAGGGAGGAAGGGAATTTGAGGGATAAAAAGCCCCTGAGTAAGGGCTCTTGCTGCACACAAAGGAAGAAAGAACTGCCATTGAACACAATTAATCTAGACCATTGACATCTGCACCGCAGATCACTTCCAGCCTGCCAAGGGCCACCATAGCCCTGATTCTGGAAGTGCCCAGACTAGCTACCCCTCAGAGATAGGCTCACAGAAGAAGAAGCCATCTATCTGCCTGACCAAGAGTCTGCCATATGTCATGTCAGGTTGTAAAATGAAACCTTCCCAGGAGTTATTCTTTCTTTCTTTCTTTTTCTTTTTTCTTTTTGGTTTTTCGAGACAGGGTTTCTCTGTATTGTTTTGGAGGCTGTCCTGGAACTAGCTCTGTAGACCAGGGTGGCCTCGAACTCACAGAGATCTGCCTGCCTCTGCCTCCCGAGTGCTGGGATTAAAGGCGTGCGCCACCAACGCCCGGCGGAGTTATTCTTTCTTGTACTATCTGAGAACCCTTCCGCACACACAGTTGAGAAGTGGAGACCACAGCCACAGTGACAAGCAAGCTGGCTGACGGCTCTGTTATCCAGAATGAGGACAGATGAAATAGAGGAGGCAGTACTCTTTCCGAAATAGTTTAATCAGTGTGTTTAATGAGTATAGATACTTAAATTTGATAACTTCCACTTAAATTGGCATTCTGCATTTGCTGTGTTATATAATTGGTATAACAGGAAACACACTGTATCTTCCTTTTTCTTTTATTTGTTTTCCTCTTTGCCTCTGTGTCTGAGACAGGACCCCCTCCATGTCGCCTAGGTTAGCCTCAAACTCCTGGACCCAAGTCATCCTCCTACCTCATCCTCACAATCAGCTGGAATACAGATGCACACTATTGTGCCCTGCTTCTCCTTTAGGCTACCAAACACCTCTTAGTCCTTCCTCCCCAAGTTGCAGCTATCAGCTTCTTGGTTTTGTTTTTGTTATTGAATTCATTATGCAGCCCCTGTTGATCTGGCTGGCATTGATTCATAGAGACCCATCTGCCTCTACCTCCTGAGTGCCAGGATTTGCTGGGGTATCATAGTTCTCTTTGGTCTGGAGGTAGACCTCTGGCATTTCACTCAGTGGCCACTTGGGTCTCGATGCTGCTATCCACCCTTTGAACTAACCACCTTCCCACACCCCAAGAGTGCGCAACATACCTCTAGATGTGACACTAAATTTGCGGTCAGAGAAACTGCTCCTCCGGATTAACGGTTCGCTCATTTTCTCCAGAAATAACTTAATGGTTTCTTTCTTTTCTGGGTTCATGCTTGTCAAGTTGAGAACCTTTCCTTGCACTTTTACGGTAGAATTGCTGAGCCCAAACCAGTAAAGGAAATCAAATAGGGCATCTGCCTTGAATTCGTAGGCGAAACTCAAATTCTCTCCATTCAGCACTTTAGTTCCCGGAAGGAAGAAATTCCTTACTACTTCCTGGAAATCAAACTGAAGGAGAGAAAAGAGGTACATGACATGGAGGACAAAACCATCCCCAGGAAGGGAAGCAGTCCCTTTGCAGGGGTTTAGCCCTCCTGCTGAAAGCCCAGCTTACCTGAAGTCTATAGCTTTCTCCGATCACCGAGGAGATGGCCATGTCCATCCCTTGCTCTATCTGTCTTCTTATCTTGGGGTGCCTTGTGTTCACAAGAAACGCAAAGGTCCTTTCTATAAACCAGCAAGCAGAAGTCAGAAAAAGTGTTTGTGCGACATGAATGCACTTCTAACTAACAAAAGCATGCCTGGAGTTGCTGTAGAAGTTTGGACACATCTATTCTTTTTCCTGCCAGCTTCCATGGGTGCCCAGCGAGATTTCTAGAAATATTCCCCAAAATTTTGTAAATTTGAAAGGTGCTCTGAGTTACTGTGAAAACAGGTTTGGGGATCAGCTACCTTGGAAATCAAAAGCCACTTGCATGAGAACTACCCTCCATGGTGTGTCCCCTGTGTGGAAAAGGTTCTGTGAGCGTGTGTGTGTGTGTGTGTGTGTGTGTGTGTGTGTGTGTGTGTGTGTGTGTGTGAGTGTGAGTGTGCGTGCACTCAAAGATATGCACACAGAAGTCAGAGGACTGCTTGCTCGAATCAGTTCTCACCTCTACACTGTAGTTTTCCGGACAGAGTTTAGACTCCCTAAGCCTGTAAGCCAGTAGCTCTCAACTTGTGGGTCATAACCCCCACGGGGGTCACATATCCTACATATTAAATAGTTACATTGGGATTCATAACTCTCAAAATTACAGTTATGAAGTAGCACCATAATTTTATGGTTGGTTCACCACAACATGCAGAATTGTATTAAAGGTTTGCAGCATTAGGAGGGTTGAGAACCACTGCTTAACCCATCTCCCTTGCTCCAGGCTAGAGCAAAAGCATCAAGGCATTGGAGGTGGAGTCTGCCCCCCACCACCTAGTCTTACCCAATACACACAATATAAACAAAGTGAAGATTGTTTCCTCATTTTAAAAAATTGAATCTTATTAACTACTAATCTCTTTTCCAGCCCCAGGAATCAAGCCCAAATTACTTTAGCAATCAAGGTAAGACATGCATGCCAGTCTTACCTAGAGGTGTGGACAGCTGTTGTGTGAATTTAAGAACATTCTATTCCCTTGTGGGTCAAAGGCAAGTGTTTAGATTTTAAAGAAATGCATTTTTCTTGAGGATTTATTTATTTTTATTTATGTGTATGGGTGTTTTAGCTGCATGTATGTCTGTGTACCCTAAGAGGCCAATAGAGGATGTCGTATGCCTAGAACAGGAGTTACAGCTGGTTGTAACTCCACCTGAGTACTGGGAATAGAACCTTGGTCCTCTGGAAGAGCAGTCAGTGCTCCTAACTGCTGAGCCATCTCTCCAGCCCTGAATGCATTTTATACTAATCTTACTCATTTTTAGTTTTCCTACCCATGTTTTCCCTTCTTCTTTAGATAGAAACCACCTTATATGCTATTTGAGATGAGAGATAAAATAAATCTAGCAGGCTAGTTGAAACTTGGAATTGAATTTCATGCAAATCAACTAAGACCTTTCAAAAGCTCATTAAACACCCAGGTCTAGCCTATCCTATGGCTAGGCAGGTTGCACACTGCATAATTACAGACCTGTCAATCTGCATGTTTACTCTGACAGACTTCTAGAAGAAGGCAGTACTTGTCTCCAGAACATGGTAACTCCTAATTTGCATAACGTGTAGTCTAGAATAGCAGCAGGGCTGACATGTTGCCTTAGTTACAGTCATCATCGTATAAGCTCAGCCATCTTTTTTTTTTATATTATAGAACTTTTCTCCCAGTTGACCTGCTCTTGGGGTCCCATGCCTCCTCATATAGATGTTATCATGCAATTATGCACTCTCTGTTAATCTCTTACAGATACCTTCTTGTGCTACTCTTGGAATTTTGGTTAAAATGATTAACTAAGAGTTCTTAGTTCTTATTCTTTCTTTAGATCCCTCCTGGGGGAAAAAGTCAGGGGTACACGTGTACATCTGTGATACAATCCTGGAGACCTGACCAGCTTCCTGGACATCACTAAACCAGAGCACATGTAGCACTAAGGTGTGGCTGGTCACATGTGGCTAACCACTGCTGGCTGTGCTCTGGCCTTTCTTGCAAACAGCATTCTGACTTTGAGTTGGGGATGGTGAACAGAGAGTGCTCCAATAACCAACTGAGAGAGGGAGCTTGAGGAATTCTGTCTGAAATGAGCTGGCCACTAGTTATTAACCTGAGCTCACTTTAAGAGTACAACTTAGGAGGCTGGAGAGATGGCTCAGAGGTTAAGAACACTGGCTATTTTTCCAGAGGGCCCACATTTTTTTTTTTGGTTTTTTGAGACAGGGTGTCTCTGTATTGCTTTGGAGGCTGTCCTGGAACTCACTCTGTAGACCAGGCTGGCCTTGAACTCACAGAGATCTGCCTGCCTCTGCCTCCTGAGTGCTGGGATTAAAGGCTTGTGCCACCAACACCCGGCCCAAGGGCCCACATTCTATTCTCCGAACCCTCATGACAGCTCACAACCGTCTGCAACTCCAGTTCCAGAAGATCCAGTGCCCTCTTTGGCCTCTAAAAGGGTACCAGGCATGCAAGTGGGTACATAGGAATATGTGAAGACAAAACACCCATCTACATAAAATAAATTTAAAAATAAGAATTGTAAATCTTTTAAAAAGATTATTAATTATACCTACTTTAATGTTCAAAAACAGCCCCATTTGGATGTAGGTCCTGTAGGTTGTTGAGCCAGATAGTGACAATAAAACATGCCTCAGACACAGTACGTGATACACAAAGGGTTTCACCACTCCAACCATCCCTACAACCCCAGAAGGCCCAGAATGTAAGATCATTTCCTGTCTAGAAAGGAAGTCAAACCTCTGAGGGCTCCATGTCAGGTCACTTCCTGCCTGAACAGGAACAAGGGTTTCTATCATTAGAGTTCACTGAGCTGACATCTACCCCCTCTTCTTTGGGCCTCTCTTCTACCTAAGCCCACCACCCAGCAAGGCAGGGCCAAAGAAGATTATTTATATACCTACCTTTTGAGGTGTCCTTTTTGGCCTGCACGTTAATGAAGAATAGCATGGGCTTGCTCAAGATTGTCTCCCTGTAGTCTTTATAATCAGAGTAGGTGGTCAGTTCCACATATCTATGGAAAAAGCAGAAATAACTGCAGATGGAGTATCCACTCCCATGGGAGGAAGGGGATGTAAAGGCTGGACATGTCTACCTCAGCGTGGCCTTTGAGGGATGTTTCCTAAATTGTGTCCTAAAAGAGGTCACAACATTTCATACACATCAGGAAACCACCTTTGGGTCATTGCTGAGTGAATGAGGTGTCTGTGGTCCTTAGGGTGGCTTGATAACAGTGTGTTGCTGCTTTCAGAGGGGCCTTTACCAGATGAGACCAATGTCATACACCAGGTGGGCAAAGAGTTCATCTGAGGCTATCAGAGCCCTAAGTCCCCACCCCCATCTCACTGTCTCTCTCACACTCTCCCCTGTTCTCTCTCTATATATGTTCCTTTCCCCGTGTCTCCCCACCCTCCTCTGTGTGTGTGTGTGTGTGTGTGTCTGTCTGTCTGTCTGTCTGTCTGCTCTGTTCTGCTCCTGCTTCTCTTGTGGCCAGGTCCAGTCAAGGTGGGCCATGTTCAGTCTACTACTTTCTCTGCTCTGGACTCTTCTAGATACCTCTGATTGCTCTCTCTCTAGTAACCACAATAAAAACCTTCCCCTTCACCACAAAAACAGCAACAATAAAAAAAAGAACAAAACTGAAGAGGAAGAATTCATTGAGTCTTCTCTAGTGGATTCATCTTGCCTAATAGGTCTGGAATTCCCTATCTCCTTCCCACTTCCCCACCTAATCCCAAGATAGCACAACCTCCTGTGTGGATCACACCATTAATCACGTTTCCTATAAACTATTACTAATTCACGTTTCCTCCATTCTCAGCTGTGTAATTACAAAAATCATACTGTTAATGCATTTCTGCCCATATCCTCATTAAATTTAGCATCCTTGGCTTTACTTTTACTGGAGTATTCTACTTAGAAAGGTCTCTCTGAGTCCTGACTCTCATCTTGTGGGTTAGCTCCCCCCCCCCCCGATTTTTCCAAACAGCCTTTATCTGCCCCTAAACGGTAAATAAAAAGATCCCAATGCAAACTGGCTTCTTCCAGGGGTGTGGTAACCTGAGTGAGAATGGTCCCCGTAGAATCATATGCTTGAATGTGTGGTCCCCAGTTAAGGGAACTTTTAGAGAAGAATTAGGAATTGTGTGGCCTTGTTGTGCGTCATTGGGGGGCAGGTTTCAAAAGCCAGTGTCAGACCCCGTCTCTCTCTCTCTCTCTCTCTCTCTGTCTCTCTGTCTGTCTGTCTGTCTGTCTCTCTGTCTGTCTCTGTCTCTGTCTCTCTCTCTCTACCTTACTGTCCTCACATCAGAATTTGCCTTCAGCACAACAGTAGCTATGACAAAGGGGATGGTTCATTTCCTAGCTGTCCCAAGCTCAGAGTCTGTGTTGGTGCGAGCAGGTTGAGTGGCAGCCAGCAAGAGAATGATGCCAGAGCCTGGTCCTTCTTCACTCTGGGTTGGTTTCGGGTTGGTCCCAATGAAATATCTGCCTGGAGTGAGTGGGTCAGCTGAGCTGATAGCAGGGGCTGCCCGCTGCTACACCGGATAGACTCTTCCATCCAACTGTGATAGGAGAGCTCCATGTGTTTCTAGTTTGAAAAGCAGTCAGTCCTTCCATACTTGACTAAAACAACAAAGCCTGGGAAAGCCGTTGGCTGCCACAGGGGGCTTGGCCACTCAGTTCTCTTGAGCCCCGCCTATGTTTACTTCTTTTTTTATTTTTTAATTTTTTGTTTGTTTTTCAAGACAGGGTTTCTCTGTGGCTTTGGAGGCTGTCCTGGAACTAGCTCTTGTAGACCAGGCTGGTCTTGAACTCACAGAGATCCACCTGCCTCTGCTTCCCGAGTGCTGGGGGTTAAAGGCGTGCGCCACCACCGCCTGGCCCCATGTTTACTTCTTACAACTCCCACAGACAGGAGGCAGGCATGGGTCAAAAGCACAGAAAAGGGTACACACCCAAAGATAATGCCCACAAGGGGAGGGTGCCCACCAAGGCAGGTGACCACCCAAGTCAGAGAAGGACAGCTTCTGTTTGTCTCCTGGCTTGATTTCCCAGAAATAGTGGGTTATCAGACTGGAGTCGGAGAGCGATTACTCTAGTAGAGCCTCTAAACTCTTTCCTGCTCTCTGTTTCGGTGTGTGTATGTGTGTGGTGTGTGTGTGTGCGTGTGCGCGTGTATGACCTGTGACCCACCCATTTAGCACTCTCACAACCTTCCCCAAGGCAATCCCTTTTGTCTCTGTCTGCAGTCTGATGGCTGCTCTCTGGAGAAAGTCCCTGGGGCTCCAATGCAAAGGAGCCCCCAAAGGAGCAGTTTCACCCAATTTTCTGATGATGCCACAACAGTGTGGCATTTTTTTCACCCTATAAGATCAATTGACATCTAACCAGAGACATCCTTGAATTCTGCTATTGCCAAATTGTCTTCCAACAAACTCATGGTACAAGAAAAAGATAGAAACATCAAGTCAGAAACGACCATTAGCTGGAAGAGCAAGCAGGCCCCTTAGAATTCCATGGAAGGCCTTTTACAGCACCACAGGACTCAGAGAGCTGTGGTTGGATGCAATCAGAGAAGAGGTTTAAGGAAGTCACGTATTGAGGCTATGTGCAACCTACGCATGATCCCGTACTGTATAGTATGAGCTGAATGAAACAGCTGGACAGTAAAAGCAGGTGCAGCAGAATTGGCCAGCCTTTGACAATTCGGAGGCCATTTAAAGGACCATTCATCCCAGGTGTGTGCAAACACTGCATAGCCAAGAATTTGACAGCATATTTTATAGAAATTCCCTATATCTAACCTGGCCACAAAGGAGAACCACAGGAAACCATTCTTATCCATCCGGACGATGTTGGAACCATTGGATGACACCACATCTGTGCACAGTGCTGCAATCTGCAATACCTAGGCAGTGGAGCTAAAAAGCTAGATGTCTAAATGATGGCAGATGGGTAGCATACACAGCCTGGATACTCAGGTAAAGGGATAAGCATCATGCAGTTCTCAATGGTACACAATTTAAAATGCATGGCTTGAAGCTTTCAGTTTAGTATTTTTGAGCTGAGCTAACCACAAGTAACTTCAGTGAAGGAATGCTACTGTACATCATTAACTCCTCCATTCCCAATTCCCAGTAACGGTCCCTTTGTCTAAAGTGACAAAGTTCCAACGAAATAAGTAAATGTAGGTGGTTATTTGAAATTTATGATTATAAAATTGAAATATAAAAATCATCACAAAACAAAAAGGTCACAGGGTCTCTTCATTCAGTTCCACAGGTGTTTTAGTGTCTGCCTGGCATTTAGTTATTGCTTTTTGTTCAGGATGTCTTACTAGGTGGCGTTAGGGACCAGTTATTTCATGTTGAATCGTGAACCTTTCTGAATTAGTAATGCAAGTATCACCTCCGTGCACTGAATATTATATTTGCTAAAGTTATCATACGGGGTGGCAAAATGTAAGCAACTTTAAGGTTACTTTGAGATAACAGGTTCTTCCAACTCTCATTTATTCATTTCACACTGTCCCCAAACTACTTTCAGACTGTAACTTTCTAAGCCTGACCTCAAGGCAAAGATCAGAGGGCAGGGCAATGCCAGAGAAAGGAATGTAATTCATATCCAAGCTCAGCAGTGTGTGAACTCCATTCCAGAACCAAGGCTCACTGTGACCCCGAACCACAGTTAACCTTGACCCAGAGCCTACATAGCTCTCTGTGACCCACTGTGAGGTGGGCCTGCTAACACAAATATGAGAAGGGAAATACCTTTGCCGCCAAGAGTCACGTGGTGCATTTCAATGTGCAATGGTAGATTTAGGAATCCTTCTTATTCTGGGTATGGTCCCTGGACCAATAGCATCAACATTGCTGGTATTCAGGCATCTGCACTGACCTGCCCTTGGGGTTCTGAGAGTATATGCCCTCAGCTTCAGCCACTAAGAGCACCACCTGTCTACACTCACTATGTTCTCTTTTGAAAGACCCTGCCCACCTCCCATCTTTGTCTCTTTCTCTCTCTCCCTCTTTTCCTCTCCCTTCCTCCCCCTCCCCCCTCACTATCTTGTCCCCAGGGACCAGACTGCTGCTTTTTCTGCCCTTTCCCTCTCCTCTTCCAATAAGCCTCCTATGTGAGTCCTGTTGTATGGCATGACTTCCCTTCATGGTGTTTTGTAAATTATAGCAAGCATGACTGCGAACTCATCCCAGTGCAGAAAGCAAACCCCTGTTCAATTTCATCCAACCAGAATCTGTGTTTTATCAAGAACCCCAGGAAACTGGCATGTTAAGTTGCCGACAGTTTGAGAAACACCAATGGAAAGTGCCCCACCACTCAGACTTGAAGGCTGTCCCATTGTTCACACCCAGAGACACCAGGGGAAAGCCAAGACTGCTCTGCCAAGCCAGGCATACATAGGCAAGGAGCAAGGGACTGCTGTGGCTGGAAGGAGAGGGTGCAGTGGGTGATGTCAGAAGGCGGGCAGTTACTCAACAATGACCAGGTGTGCTGGAACCAGGAAGCAGATGGCCTAGCTTAAAACCAGAGTGAGGTTCTGGGGGAACCAAGCCAGGAATGGATTAAGTGTGGCTGAAGCCTTAGAGTGCCTGGGCCATGACCTCTGAGGCTATTAAACTTTCTGGAAATTCAGTTTCATTATTAGCAAAATAGGTGGGCTTCTCATGAGAGGATGAGCAGATCAAATACAGTTCAAACGAGGCTTCCTTATTAACCTTAGTGATAATACAAAAACTAATAGATGATATGTGCCAGTATTTGTTTCTTTGGGACTTCATCAATTTTAATTCTAATAGTAAGGTGATTATTTCTTAATAGGTTTTATTTTCAATTACATATATGCATGTTTTTGTGGATGAGTTTGTGCAGTGCAGTGCCCACAGAGGCCAGAAGGGGGCATCAGATGGGTGCTGGGAACCCCCTGTCTTCACTAAGTCATCTCTCCATCCCCATTTTAACATTTTATTATTATTTTATAAGGTGATTATTATTCTTACCTAACAGCCAAGGAAGCTTATTTTACAAAAAGTAAGAAAATGTCCCAGGGTCCCTCCCTATGTATAGTGCAGAATGTCCCACTTAGGCTCACATACACTTTCTCTAGGCTGGACCTCACCATAACGAGTTCAGGGTGCAGACAGGTGTCATCTCAGCAGTGTTGTGTGTCCTGACGAAAGATGTTGTGGAAGTCAGTTTCTACATGAGACAGGAGGAAGAGGAGGAGATCACAGGACGGGGCCCAAGCTGGCTCAGTAGAGACCTGCAAGCTACTCAGGGAACTGTGCCCCTGCCATGGCTGGCAGATGGCTGTCACTTCTCACTATGGGATGGACAGCAGAGACCTACTTGTCTTTACCCATGATTCCTAAGCACTCTGCTCCATAGGACGCCCTGACAGAGAGTGACTTGTCTCCCAGCTAGTCAGCTGTGGTTAGGGGCAGATTCTATATTTTCTTCTTGAAAATCTCTCCCCTTAGTTCTTTTGTAAGGTTGACTTATACTCGGTGTGAACAACTGATGGAAACCCAGTTATTTATTTAGGGTCCTCTGGTAGTGGGAGAAGCTTCCACTGGTCATTGGGAGGCAGAACCACTTCTTGTTTGCAGCAGGCAGTTTCCTGAGAACACAGGCATGCTCTGACAGTGCTACTTAGAAACCATGGGTCAGCTGATTCCAGCATCTTCCATGGGTTCTCTGTTAACTCTCATTTTCCCTTCATAAAAAACAAACAACAATGCCATCCACACTAAGACTTCACAAGATGACACTGGTGAAATACTTTGCACCCTTCTGGGGACTCAGGTCAACATTAGTAGCCACACTTCTTTTATTTATTTAGATTACCCAGCATCCCCTTTCATACCAGAACAGGGCACAGGCAGAATGCGAGGTTATGTTTTCAGATATTGACAATCCATGTCAGTATAGGCGGGCTGCATCCTAGTGGAAAGATGTGTGTGTGTGTGTGTGTGTGTGTGTGTGTGTGTGTGTGTGTGTGTGTGTGTGGTGTGTGTGCATGAGCATGGTGTGTGTGTGGTGTGTATGTGAGCATGGTGTGTGTGTGTGTATGCGCATGACTGTCAATGTGGGTTGGTCTTTGAAGTCACCTGTTAACCATTACACAAGGGGTAGTGTCCTGAGCAGGCTTTAGGTATGACATAACAGAAATCTTGAATTTAGAAGAAAAATGATAGTATTAGTAAAGATTTGCTCATTAACTCCACAAATTAAGACGCATGTTTTAAAAGCAGGTATTCAGAGCACCTTTGTGGCCATCACTAACAATCAAGAAAGGCTTGGCTTCTTCAGTTTACTTAGTGTTGTGTTTAGAACATGTTTAAGTGTCAGAAAGAGGAACCTGAGGAAGGAGGACAGATGACCTCAGTGAGGTACTCCTTTGGATGTCAGGGCGATGGCTCTCAGCATTTTGAGGTTTCCTGGGAAAGGACTCCAGGAAAGGAAAAGAACACAGCTTTGAGGCCCTGTGTCTTGATTACACTATGGACTTATTCCACACCCAAAATGCTCAACATGGGGGACAAAAATTAGTAGAGCAAGCATTCTTATCCACACATCTTGGAGCATCTGAGTTGGCCAGGGACACTGGGATTGCATCTACATTTCTGGAAAGGTCTATGTCCAGTTCTCAAAGGCCCAGTGAGCCAATGTGCTTAGGATCCTGACCCCTCTTCTCAATCCCTAGCCACCATGGCAGCGTTCTTGGCTAGATGCCATCCCACACCTAAGGCAAGAATGTGGTGGCTGCAAGAAAGATGAAAATTCTCTGGCATTCATCACCTCCGCTTGTCACGACAAATGTGAAATCTGTACTGTGGACAAGCAGACTGCAGATGCCAGACACATTGAAACCAGGCTGCTCACCTACACCAATTGTCCAGCTTTGAGGAAATTCAACTGAAGTGCTATGCCAGGGACACTCCAAATTGCCACAGTATCAATAACATCAAATTGGAAGCTATTTAGATAGCTTACACACACACACACACACACACACACACACACACACACACCAGAACAATGCACCTAGCAACCTGGAATACCCACCTGCATCAAGCTGCAGCCCCCAACTGGGAAGAATGGAATAACTTTCTTCCCCCATTTAACAGTCATCAAACTTAAATTCTGTTTAATTATATACCAGTCAGGACAATTGGGGATGAAGGCAATCTGGGCTGAACTAGTTTTGTGTGCATTCATTATAAGGCAAACTGTGCCCTCTAATGAACTATTAGGGAGAATCCTCAAATTATCATCTTATGCCTGTGTGTTATCAACAGTGTGGATGATGAAAATCAGACGTAACATGAAAAGGGGTGTATGCAGTGAGCAACAGCTTACACAATCCAAGCCCAGTGTCCCACCCAAACTCCAGCCCTTAGAAACCGGCTCCTCGTTCTCTTCTGATCTCCACGGGAACCAGACACACACAGGACAAACAGACATACAAGCAGGCAAAACAGTCATACAATAAAAATAACTTTAAAAAAGAAAAAGAAACCAACTCCTCCTTCCTTTCCACTGTATAAGGAAGGCCCAGGCAATATGGGGCTTGAATGCCTGCACTCAAGTGGTCCACTGTCACTCTTAAAGGTTTACCCCTGACTAATTTGTACTGTTGCCTTGCTTTGAATGAAGTTGCCCTGGGGCTGGAAAGATGGTTCATCACACTTGTCTGTAACTCTAGCTCCGGATCTGTGCACACACTTCCCTTTTACTTTGCAATCATTTCTTTTAATAAAATGCCAAGAACCTGGAATCATCCAGGTCAGACCTGGGTTACGGGTGATGCTGTCTCCAAAGTCAATGCCAACTGGATCCACCTTGCAGATCAGAGCGAAAATCTTGAGAAGGCTAAGTTCTGCATGCTTCCACCTCCAGCGGCTGCACAGAGCTCAGGTCTCTATCCAGAAAGCACTCCCTCCCAGCCCTCTTCAGGCTGCCCACACAATTAGAAAGGCTCCTACCATGGCATGGCCCCTACAGAAAGACACGGTGCTAATCCCACTGTTTAAATCCTTCTCGGGGAGCCTCTGTAACCTCCAGGGTGTGAAAGTCCTCACTCACACAATTGTTTACGTGGGGAGAAGCAAGTGTGCATAAAATGCACTTGTACCCTGGTCTGTGTCACTACACTTTAACTTGCCTAGGAACCACTTCTATAACCCTGTTCAAAAAAAAAATAATGATAAGCCTCAAATCTATTCTAAAATTTCCTGTATCACGTACTAAGATTAGGGAGCTGATGCTGCAAAATGCCTTACCTTAGCTTCAGTTCGTTGGCAAATTGTAATTGTGTGTGAGTGTGTGTGTGAGTGCGTGTAGGTGCACCAATGCATACGTGTACACCTTATTAGTGTCAAATGGGTTCTCTCACTGATCCCAGAGCTTGTCGGTTTAGGGACAGGGTGGAGGCCAGCAAGCCCAGTAACTGTCCTGTCTTCACCCCCTAGCACAGGGGTTCTAGGCACAGGGACATTTTCACATGGGTGCTGGGAATCCGCACTCAAGTCCCCTCACTTCAGGCAGGTAACCATCTCCCTACCTAAACCTGCGTTCTAACTTAGCTCTCCACACTTCCTCTTACAAACTGGCATTTTTATTGCCCTACCAAAGAGAAATTCTTGGTAGGGAGTGTTTTCTCTGGTTTTCAAAACTCATACCACCCTGAGGGTTCCACCTGCCGTGTGAAGAATGCCCTGTCAATGTCTGGCCCTTTGGCTCCACCCTCTCCACCGCTCACACATCAACCTTTCTCAATGGCAAACACATCATATCATCACATCTGGCAAACTGCATCACTCAGACCCCAGACCCACTTAGTTCTGGGGCTCTCAACATCCTACTAACCATGTATGAGGGTTATATACCTTCTTCCTCCAGGGTGAGCCTGCCAAGAGGAATTCAGCATGGCTGCCCCACCCTTACGCCACTGAGATCAAAGCCTGCCTCCACATCCTTGCCACCTCCAAGTCTCCCGAGGAGTGCTTGAGTCCCTTTGGCCACAAAAGTTCCTGAGAGCCATTGGATGCAGGCTGGGGGCTCGAAGCGCCCTGCAGCAAGCCAGGAAGATACACTTTGTGCTTATGTCTGCCCAAGCTGTCTCGACACTGAAGAGGCAACAAGCTCTGGACTGGGCTTCTGGAGGCTTTTTTTCTTCTCCACTATGGTTGTGTGGTTTAAGAAACACCAAGAGAGCCGGGCGATGGTGGCGCATGCCTTTAATCCTAGCACTCTGGAGGCAGAGGCAGGCAGATCTCTGTGAGTTCGAGGCCGGGCTGGACCAACAGCCTCCAAAACAATACAGAGAAACCCTGTCTTGTAAAAAACAAAAACAAAAACAAAACAAAACAAAACAAAACACCAAGAGAGCAATTATCACCCCCCCTCATCCAAAATGACCTTTTTTTTTTTTTGCTTGCTTCTGCCAATTAAAGTTATTAGTGTTCAGAACCAAAGCTAGGTGTGAAGTTCAGCATCCTAGACTTCCCCTGAGGGATGTGCCTGCACACTGAGCTCATCCGACCCAATTAATGGGCATAATGGAAAAAGCAGCCACCAGCTGAAGTGATGGGTGGGGCTGGGTGTGCTCCTACCCTGTCCTCCCTACACTGTCAGCAAGACAACCCTCTTAACTTCAGGAAAAAGCACCCTTTACGACACCCTTCTTAGCTACTTAAAAAAAAAAAGAGTATTTGGGCCGGTGGATGTCAGGTAGGATGACCAGGTCTCCTGGAGATGGGACAGCAGCCAGGTAGAAGATTTGCAAGACAGAGCTACAGGCTAGGGCGCACAACGTGGCCACCCACCTTTTGATGTAGCTGCTAAGGCGGTAGAGCTGCCCGTCGAAGTTCACGAGGCCGTCCCCGAAGACATTGAAACCCCCTCGCACGTCCGCGGGTTCCCCGGGCCCGAGTACCAGGAGCTGCTCACCACGCAGCTGGAAGACACCAGGCTGTAGGCGGAGCAGCTGCGACAGGGGCAACAGGGCCAGCTCACAGTCGCAGGTCCACAGGCTGCGGAGCTCTCCGGACGAAATGGAGGTCAGGCTGGGTCTAGCCACAGGCTCGCACGCCGCGGTGGCCATACTAGGGCTGTGACTCAGTCCCCTTCCTACCCTGAGCGTCTCCAAGTGGGAGGATTAAATCTCTGCTCCGGAGCCTTCTTGACACCCTGAAGGCTGCCCACCCTCGAGAAGTGCCGCAGGCAGGACACTGAGAAAACAGTCCCCGCGCTGAGCAACCCCTTTTATCAGGCACCGGGCACGCCCCTCCGGCCCCCAGGCAGGACCCCAGATGCTCCACTCCTGCACAGCAATCAGCATTTCATAACTTGGCGCGCTCCCACCTCGCCTGCTCACAGCCAAGACTAACTTAGTCATCCCACTGGGGTCAGACACTCAGCCCCCGCATGGGGCCCTCCCTGCCTGGTGCGCATTGCTTGGTGCAGTATCTTCCCCAGGACAGACGCCCAGGTTTTGTGCAGCAAGCTCTCATCCCTCAGGTGCTACTGTTCCCGGGGACCACACAGGGTGCCTGGCCACCTCTCCACCTGGGGCCCAGGGGCTGCCAGAGCTCAGGCTGGGAGCTCCACCCGCATCTAGATCCCCTATCCCCAGTCCAGTCTCCGGTCTTCAGTTTCCTCCACCTCCACCTACACGATCTGGCTTTTCCTTCTCTCAGCCCTTCCTGGCATGAGCTCCCACCCTCCCAGCATCCTCCCGTAGCGACCTGCCACTTTCCCACAGGGCTTTCTGTATCCCTTGTGCACTCCACTTCTTGCTTCTGCCGCTGCGGGGACCCTTGGTGGCTATGTGTTCGGAATCAAGCCGGAAGACGCCTAGCAGGCCTCCCTCAAGGGCTGAACTCCCCGATACCAGAGTCTGATCATCAGTTTACAGATATTTGAGTGCTCTAGTTATATGCTCACAAGTTTCCTGAGGGACTAAAGGACTGTCCCTTTCGATTTAATTAAATGAACCACAACCATCATCCAACCGGTGATCTAAGAGAGGAGCTAGCAAGTTTCCCAACAATACACTGACTGAGGGAAGGCCTCCGCTCTAGGTAAACCCGCATGAGCAGGCAGGGGACTCCAGGCAGCACTGAGGAGTCCTGAAGGCAGAACCTGAAAGTCAAGTAGAACCCAATTTGTCTCCGAGTGCCCCCAGAGTTTAATGGAATCAAGCGAAAAATTTTCTGCTATACTTCATTTATTCTTTATTTTTGGAATGTTTTAAGTTATTCTTATTTTGTGTATAAATGTTTGCCTGCATGTATGTACGTGCACACATGAGTACAGAACATGCCAGTCAGATTCCCTGGAACTGGGCTTACAGCCGCCATGCAAGTGCTGGGAACTGAACCTGGATCCTCTGCAAGAGCAGCAAGGGCTCATAACCAGCTGCGGAGCTGTCTCTCCAGCCCCCTGGTGTTGCAGGATTTTTATTCCTCTTTCCTCATCTAACAGTAAATGCATGTTGTGTTTCAAACGGCTTCGTTTTTGTAAACTGCATTTCAAACCACTATGCCGTTTTCCATCAAGGGAATGTACCCTTGTTTGTCTAGACTTTTCTTTCCTGGAACACTAGAATCACTTTGTTTTACCCTCACTACAAGAAATAACACATCTTTGCACTTTAATTCTTTTCAGGGCTCCACCTCTCAGAAATGGAATTACTGGGATAAGTGACATGAATCTACTCTAGGCTCTGGATTAGCATATGTCCTAGTCTGTTTTCTGTTGCTGTGATAGGACACTGACCAAAACCAATTCTGGAGACAGAACTGAAGCAGAGACCACAGAGGAACGCTGCTTACTGGCCTGCTCCCAGACTTTCTTACACAGCCCAGGCCCATCTGCCTAGGAAATAGTACCAACCACAGTACATCCTATATCAACTAAGAACCAGGAAAATGTCTTCACAGATGCACCCACAAGCCAATGTGATGGAGGCAGTTCCTCAGCTGAAATATTCTCTCCCCAGGTATGCCTGGGTTTGTGTCAAGCTGGCAAAAATTAGCTATGACAGGATATCATTGTTCTCCAAAGCAACTTTACCTTTTTTTTCTTTCTCTCATGAGCAGTGAATTCTTATGGGTTGTCTTTAGTACTGGGGAAGCACACCCGGTTACTCTATATATGCACTTGAATTGTTAGGATTAAAGTTAGGTTCACAATAGAGCATTGACGTTACACTTAAAATCCTACACACACACACACACACACACACACACACACACACACACTAGGTTAGGCTTATAGTTAAGAGGAGACTGCCTGAAGACTTTGCCATCGTCATGTGCTCCTACTGGAGTGATAGTTACATCATCAAAGCACAACGGCAGCCTTTTATCCTCAGAGCTGTAAGTGGTCCTACTCAGTGACTGTGATGGTTGGCTTTGATTGTCAACTTCACACAATGTAGAACCACCTAGAGCGAGTCTTGATGGATTGTCTATATCAGGTTGGCATGTGGGTGTGTCTGTTGGGGATTGTTTGATCATCTTAATCAATGTGGGAAAACCTACCCCAAACATGAGCCGTGCTTCAGGTAACCACCTAGATGAAAGGACAGGCTTTCACTCTTGCCGGTCAATTCATCTACTCTGAGCTGCTGCTGCTGCTGCTGCTTCCTCCCATAAAGAACCATGCTCTTCAGGCTTCCAACATGGACTGAAGGTCAGCAGCTCTCCAGGGATCCTCTAGGTCCCTGGCACCAGATTGGGGCTGCTGAAGCTCACTGCTTCATGGTGACTCCCAGGTGGTCAGTCATTTTTGCACTACCCCTATCATTGTATAGGCCAATGCAATACATCCCCTTTGTAGTACAGATGCAGTCCATTGGTTCTGTTCCTCGAGACAACCTTGAGGGATGCAGAGGCCTTAACTCAAATCAAGCTCTCACAGACCAGTTCACGCCACCACTATTTTCACTCCTAGACTTTCCTGCCTGAACACAGGGATCTGGGGCTGATGAGATGCTTAGCAAAGTGCCTGCCACACAAGATGGAGGCTCTGAGTTCAGATCCCCAACACCCACATAAAGCCTGGGCCCAGCACAGGGGCACTTGTCTGTGACCCTAACACCAGAGGCCGGGGAAGACAAGTATACACGTGGAACTCACTGGCTGAACTGATGAGCTCCGGGTTCACTGAGAGATCCTGTCTCATAAAAACCAGGTGGAGAGTGATCCACCCAGCACTGACCCTGAGCCTCCATGTATGCACACAGGTACAGACATGTGCTTACGACTCTCATGTACGTGTGCACATATCCACAGGAACGCACACACGTGTGTGTGCACATTCACACATGAAAGAGAGACGCAGAGAATGCGAGTATCTGTGGTCTTCATCTCTCTTACACAAAAATGGTCTTTATTCTTTCATCCCACCTCCCTTTGTAGCTATTTTTCTCAAGGTCAAACTCCCTCAAAGAGTCGTCTAAATTCCCTCCCGCACCCATGGCACCATTGAAGCCGACCTAACGAAGCATCAGTGGCCTCCACATTGTCAAAGCTAGATAAGCTCCCTGCTCTTACCTCCGCAGACCACCCTTGTCCTTCCTGCTCTTACCTCCGCAGACCACCCTTGTCCTTCCTGTTCCCTCCTCCCTTGACTCCTTGGGGTAGTTCATGGGCTTTGTGAGAATTTATTGTCTGAAATTAGGAGTCCGTCAGCTGTGTCAACTAGAATAAACCCTTTAGACGTTCTCACTTCTAAAATCTGGTACAAATTGAGACTAGTGAGTGGCAGGGCAGGAAGGAAGTCAAGGGCTCAGGTTTTGGTGCCTTGTTACACAGGTTCGAGATCCACGTTAGCTCCCTGGTCACCGAGCACACTGTATCAACTCTGTGTGTTCCAGCTGCTTCACATGTAAACTGTGGGGTTTGTAGGCAAAGCACTCTAAGCAGTGTCTGGCCCACAGCAAACGTGTGTGTGTGTGTGTGTGTGTGTGTGTGTGTGTGTGTGTGTGTGTGTGTGTGTGAGAGAGAGAGAGAGATGCCCGTATCAGGGGACTTCTGTGAGTTCAGTGACTGGCATCTGGAAGTCATCACAAGACAGTGCCAACTCCTGCTTATTCCTGGTTGTTTTCTCTCATCTCGGGCCATTTTGTTTTCCCTGAGCCAGCCTCTTCTTTCATGGTTGACGATGCTCAAACCTTTGGCTCTAGTGGCTCCCTAAAGCTGACGGTCACCATGTATGTAGGTACAGTCCAGACTTCTTGCCAGGCTCTCAATCTACCTGACACCATCCAGCCTCTCCACATGGCTTCCCAAGGGGGGCTCCAAGGACTCTTCCTCCTACGGAATGTGCTTGCTCTCCTGTATCCATCCATCATCCTGTGAGGTAGGTCCATCCCTCTCGTCAGAATGCCGAAGGCATGCAAGACTGCACCCTTCACACACACACACACACACACACACACACACACACACACACACACACACCAGGCCTCCTCCATGCCACTCCACCTCAGCCCTCCACCTCTGCCTGCTGAGTCTGGCACCTACAAATTTCAGGCATTTCTTGCTTCCAAGTCCCAGCCCCTTTCTCTTCAACTTTTCTCTGGACCTGGCTTCCCGGTCACACTTCATCAGGGCAGAGAAGCCAGGGCAGCAGGAGCTGGAAGAAACTGCCTATGGACTGAAACCTGAAACCCTGAACAAACCCTTTCTCCCTTAAGCTGCTTTTGGCAGAGTGCGGTATCGCAGCAACAGGCGAGAAACTGTGACAACCGGTGTCCTTAGAAGAAGAGACTCGTGGGAGTTGGGGGCAAGCAAAACTAAGAAACACCGTGGTTGGATCCTAACCCTTTATGGTCATTCCAAGCCAGGAAGTTACCAGAAACAGAACCTGTCCCCTGTTCTTGCCTTCTAGCTTCACACACACAAGAAATTAAGTTGTTGGTTCTTAAAGGTTTTGTTTAGGTTTTTAAAGATTAATGTCTTATCCATTTTTTAAGACACATTTATTTTATGCTTGTATTTTGCCTGCCTGAATGGGTGTGTACCACATGCATGCCAAAGGCCCATGGAAGTCAGAAGAAGGCATCAGATCCCCTGGAACTGGAGCTATAGACAGCTGTGAGCCACCATATGGGTGCTGGGAACTGAGCCCGGGCCGTCTACAAGAGCAGCCGATGCTCTTAACTGCTGAGCCATCTCTCCAGCTTCTGATTATTATTTTTAATTGTGTGCATGTGGTGGGGAGGATGAATGTGGATTTGCGCACGTGAACACAGTCCTGACAGAGACCAGAAGAGGCTGTTAATTCCCCTGCAACTGGAGTTACAGGTCGTTGGGAGTCGCCAGACATGGGTGCTGGGAACTGAATTCCGGTCCCCTGCAAGAGCAGTATATACTCTTCATCACCAAGCCATCTCTCCAGCTCTTAGGTGTGTCCAGTCTCTGACGCTTCATGACAACGGAAGGCAACCAGACCCCTGATTCTCACAACACGCCCATTGGTTTAAGAGCTGTGACGTGTGACTTGCGACCCTTGGAAGGTGGGGCTGGCATTCCCACCATGGCGCACAAAGGCTGTTCCTGATGTGTGGCTCTCACCTCGCTTTGCAGACCTCTGCTCATATTTTAATCCAACAGACGCCCTCCACTTGAGGCTA